TTTCGGAAGAACCCTCTTAACTACGCCCCAAAGCGAATATACCCTCAAATTAACATAAACTTTTTTGCATCTGGCTTTTGACGCGTGCTGATCTTGCACTTGGTGACTTCCGAAAAAACTAAAAAATAAATTAAATATAACTGAGGATTGATTCAGGTGTTGTGGGCGGTTCACTGAACGGCCAATTAAGTTGAATTTAATTAAGTGCCGGCAACTGTTTGTGGCACACAGTTCGTCAAACCCTGGGAACTAGTTCGTTGACGCACCACCGAGTTGAGTCATGGCATTACATATATGTATGTATGGTTGACATAGCGACCGAGTAAGCAAGTGCAGCATTATCAGCTGAGCTCAGACTTCCACACAGACGGGGTATTATTTATTATATGCGTTTCGCCTTGTACTTGAAAGCGCCGTTCAATGACGTTCAAAACAGCCGATTGCGATCGATAACATTGATCGGAAGTGCTCGCTAGTTTGTCAGGCTTAAGCAAATTAGCGGGATTGTTTATGTGCTCTGTGGGATTTTAAATCGAATTCTATATGTAATCTTTATGATTCCGATTTGTTCCGCACTTTCCCCAGACTGCATTAAGTTCTAACGATTCCTGGCGATATTTCGATAGGTAACTAACGATAGATTTCAATTAATATCGAAATATTTAAAAAGCTTGACAGCTAACATTCCGTTTTTATTGCATTTTATTTATTGATTATATAAGATTTATTTTTGTATTCTGATGTCAGGAGTATTCAACGACCTGTTGTATATCATTGAAAGCGAAACCTTATAGGTCAAGTATTTAAACGGTTGATATAAACTTTCAATGAGTAATTGGAAAACAATACTTGTTATACTTGCTTCTTTGCTAAGAATTGTTTGTTTGCAACTATAATCGTATGTTTGGATTAAGATCCAATGAAATTGGGACAGAAAATATTGCAGTCAACATGTCTCCAACATTTACGAGCTGATTATTCGCATATTTCTTTGTTGGAAATTGTTTATTTGCATTTAATCTTATGTTTGGTTTAAGATCGAATTTAATTGGGACAGAAAATATTACAGTCAGGCGAAAAATCAACATGTCTCCAATATTTACAAGCTGATGATGTTGCTTTGTTGGAAATTGTTTATTTGCAACTAATCCCATGTTTGTGGGGACAGAAAATATTACAGTCAGGCGAATAACCATCATGTATGTCTCTCCAATGTTTACAAGCTGATTATACGCATATTTCTTTGTTGGAAATTGTTAATTACTAAATAATGGATAAACCAAAGGGGGTTCGTTCTTACATATAGTATTCTTGTTGATTCGTTTAATTTATTTTGAAACCCGAAAATTATTATCTTTCTGTTTATTTGTATTCACTTTGTGTTATTCCTTAGCCAAAATAATTACAAAAACCGGTTGTCTCTGGTTAAATATAGCTTAGGTTTTTTGAAAAGTATTTGTGAATTTCATGGAACTGAAAGTAAAGTCCCCGAACATAAAACTCGTTACTCACCATCTTATTATATAAAGTCCCCCAAGTGAAACCCCCAAAACTCATTCAGATTCCCCTCTCAATCCCTTCCAGAAACTGCCAAATGTGGGATCCTATGTTCGCATGATCGCCGCTGATGGCAAGAGCCTGCGCGACGTGCTGACCGCCAAGGTGCCCCAGGAGCAGGAGCGCGTGAAGAACTTCCGCAAGCAGCATGGCGCCACCAAGATGGGCGAAACGACCATCGACATGATGTACGGCGGCATGCGCGGCATCAAGGCCCTGGTCACCGAGACCTCGGTGCTGGATGCGGACGAGGGTATCCGCTTCCGCGGCCTCTCCATTCCCGAGTGCCAACAGGTCCTGCCCGCCGCCGATGGTGGCACCGAGCCCCTGCCCGAGGGTCTCTTCTGGCTGCTGCTGACCGGCGAGGTGCCCACCAAGTCCCAGGTGCAACAGCTGTCCCGCGAGTGGGCCGACCGGGCTGCCCTGCCCCAGCATGTGGTCACCATGTTGAACAACATGCCCACCACCCTGCACCCGATGTCGCAGTTCGCCGCCGCCGTCACCGCGCTGAACCACGACAGCAAGTTCGCCAAGGCCTACTCGGATGGTGTGCACAAGAGCAAGTACTGGGAGTACGTCTACGAGGACAGCATGGATCTGATTGCCAAGCTGCCCGTGGTTGCGGCCACCATCTACTGCAACACCTATCGCGGCGGCAAGGGCTCCCGTTCGATCGACTCCAACCTGGATTGGTCCGCGAACTTCGTGAAGATGCTCGGCTACGACAATGCCCCCTTCACCGAGCTGATGCGTCTCTATCTGACCATCCACAGTGACCACGAGGGTGGCAACGTGTCCGCCCACACCGTTCATTTGGTGGGCTCGGCCCTCAGCGATCCCTACCTCTCCTTCGCCGCCGGCCTGAACGGTCTGGCTGGTCCCCTGCACGGCCTGGCCAACCAGGAGGTGCTCGTGTGGCTGCGCAAGCTGCAGAAGGAGGCTGGCAACAACCCCTCGGAGGAGCAGCTCAAGGAGTATATCTGGAAGACCCTCAAGTCTGGCCAGGTAAGAGCTTTCCTATGCATATATATTATAAGTCCTTATAAAGTCTGCCAAGTTAGGAGAAGGCAGAAGCTAATTGTAAACGATGCAGCGACTGCATATTCAAGTATTATAAAATCTAAAAAAAGGCATAAATATTATCTATTTACGTATTGAATGATCTTACTATCAGCACAATCAAAAAAACACATATTATCAAGTGTTACATCATGGATTTTCTTTAAAAATAATATGCCTAAACTTGGCCTAACTGTTATCAAAGCTTACAGAATTTAATATGATTATTAGAATAATCACTGGATATTTTTATATTTTCTTTGTTTTAATTTCACTTTTAAAAATGTTTAACCTTACTTAAATCATTTTATATAATGCAGACCACAGATATGCTTATATGATGAGCAAACAAACACAAGAGAACTCATTCAAAACAAAAATAATGGCCATAAATTTAGCTTTAGCTTTTCTATATGTTTTCGCTGAGCATTTCTGTTGGCATGAATAAATTAGTATTTTTGGATCCGCCTTAAAAAGTAAGTTTTTATGATCAAAACAAATTTGGACCAGCTTCAAAATGTGGTTTGCATTTGAAATTTTTGGTATAAGGTGCAATAAGTTAAATAAAATAATTATTAAATAAGAATTGAATTAAAGTACTAAAATGTGATGAAGCTACTAGTAATAATGTAATAAGATCAATACAAAATAAATAGAAAGGAGACTTAGAAATGCCGCATAGTTGTTTTCGAGATGTAACTAATACTAAAACCAAATCAATTTGTCATTTTTTCAGGTCGTTCCCGGCTATGGACATGCCGTGCTCCGCAAGACCGATCCCCGCTACACCTGCCAGCGCGAGTTTGCGTTGAAGCACCTGCCCGATGACGAGACCTTCCAGCTGGTGTCTAAGATCTACAAGGTGGTGCCCCCAATTCTGACCGAGACCGGCAAGGTGAAGAACCCCTGGCCCAATGTAGATGCCCATTCCGGTGTGCTGCTGCAGTACTACGGCATGAAGGAGATGAACTACTACACGGTGCTCTTCGGCGTGTCCCGCGCCCTCGGCGTCCTGGCCTCCCTCGTTTGGGATCGTGCCCTCGGCCTGCCCATCGAGCGCCCCAAGTCGTTCTCCACCGATCTGCTGGTCAAGATGGTCCAGAAGTAAGCCACAACTGGTCATCGAGCGGGAGGAGCTGGAGTTCAATCTTTTATAGCCAGAGGATGTTGGATGGACGAAGGATGCAGAAGCTGTAGATTGTAATAGACGAGGGACGAGGTAGAGCGAGCGAGAGAGAGAGAGTGATTCAATTCGATTGGATTGAATTGGATTGGATTAGGATTGGATATCGATATGACGACGCTGATATTGAGAGAGTTGGATATGTGTAGTTGAGGAGAACAGCAACCAAATACGAACCAATAGGACAAAATAAAAACCAGAAGAAAACTGCAACACACTGCAACCGCAAAACAATAAGTTGGAAATAAGGCCGAAACTTATTTTTAGTAGTAAAATAATTAACGAAAAGAAACCAACAAGCAAACACTTAATTAATTGTTTAAGCTATATATATATATATATATACATATATATATATACGATTGACTATATATATAGGGACAGGCAGAGAGAGAAAATTGTTTGCGCCTATTGTTTATGTTCAGCATTTCCCCACACCCACACCCAAAACAACCGCCCAACCTCCCACGTTCCCCCCACTCTTTATTTAGTTTGTTATGTTTTCATCTTAGCCGATCGACTAACCACGACCTTAATGCTTCATCCCCAACAACGCCCGACCCACCAGCACCACCCCGCCTAAAAACCTAAAAAAATTACTAACTTGATAACATTTTACTTTTAATTTAACTATAATTTATTATGCAAACAAGATACAAACGAGAAATACAATACAAAAAACAAGTGTAAAGAAACCAACAAAAACATTTAAAAAAAAACTCAATAAAAAAACAGAACAATAAATAATATAATGCATAGAGAGTAGTTATTGCCAACTCCACCAGTGGAATCTGCAAAAAAGCGTTCGTTCATTGCCGTGCAAGTGTATTCGAGAAAGCAACCCCACAATAATAAACCTTAGCAAACTTGAATCGAAGAGCGTGTGTCCATTTTCAGAGCGAAAGGGTTGAAAGGTGCGAAAAGTCGGAAAAGTGACCAATGATCAACATCGAAAATTGTGTAAATGTCACTGCCAGTGTGACCGAAGTCCTGGCCCTGGCACTGCCGGTGTGACCAAAGCTGCAAATGACGCTTGGACTAGTCGCTAGTCACGTAATTTCAATAGGTGACGAATCTTAATACATATATAACTATTTCCGAGTATTTTCGCATAAATGTTACTATGGTAACGAAAGTATCTTAGCTTTCGGGGCTAGAAGGTCAGTTTTCACCAGGCTCTTCACTTAGATGTTTTTCAATATAACTGGAAATGTGCAAATTTATTATTAAATTAAGCATATATACTCGGAAAGAAATAAATTTAACATTTCTCCTACAATACATCGACAAGTTTCTTATTTTGGAAGAATTGGTTTATAAAATATTTAAAGATTTTAATTTGGTTACACATGCACATATGGTTGGTTAACTGAATACGGGGCAATAAAATGCTGACGACGTGGGTAACTTAATGAGACATAAAATAACGAAATATGATAATACAAATAAATAAATAAAAAATTTCGGATGAGGGATTATCCTTGATTCCGTGGGTCGATAAACTCCTCCTCCGCCATTGGTGGCAGTCCCACCGTGAATGTGGCGTTGCTACTATTTGGGTCACCATTCCTGCACCGAACACAGGGCCCCAAAAGGCGGAGCATTCGGCTGCCCAGGGTGGTCCTTTTCGTCCTTAGATGGACATGTGTTTGTCGGTGGGACGACGACATCGACTGGACTAGCAGATGCGCCTGGCTATCGTTAATGCTCTGATTTTGACTCGTGTCCAGACTTTGATTTTGGCTGAGCTTGATGCGCAGCACCTCGACAACCCTGCTGTTGCGCTTGTCGAAGAAGTAAATGCCCCCGCTATCCGCCTGGTGACCCCTCCGCCTGGAGGAGGCCCGCTCCTCCTCGTGACCCTCCACCTCGATGGCCGAATCGTTGCTGCTCGGTTGACTGGACTCCGAGTTGTTGGGCGCCGGTTCTCTTCTGGCCAGTTCCCGAGATGAGGAGTCCCCTCGTACCTCGCCTTTGACATGGAACGAAAAAATTATTCATCATTAAAATTACATAAAGGTATACATTACCTTATTAAAAAAGCAAGTGGAGCCCATTTAAGCTTCGCTTATGCTAAAGAATTCGGGGCAAATTTTGTGCATTTTAAGAATAAACATGTATTCAAAGTGAAATAATAAATATATGATTGTATTAAAGAACCTATTTAAATTGGAAATCCAAAAATTTTTAGTTTTGTTTTATGCTGAAGAAGTCGCGGCTTAGTTTGTATTCAAGACTGTATGCTATCAAGAACAAAACATGTAAACGACTGTGACTTTGCTGATCCTTACCGTTTCCGCTGCCATCTGCTTCTATGATGACGCTGCTGTAGTCCAGAGATTGTGGGAGAATGGCCATTTTGGAGCGGCCGGGATTCTGTTGAATTCGAACTGGAGGCGTCACACTGAGCAGGGCCATCTCAATGGAGCCATCGGTGCTGTTGAAGGAGAGGTTGTCCATCGAATGGGGATGGGGCGTGGTCAGGGCCAAGGCATTTCCGGTGGCGGAGGGACAGGTGGCCGCCGAGAAGTCCGTTTGAGTGGCCCTTTCAATGCCTGTCGGCAGCCAGGAGTTCAAGGACCTCACAGAGTGGTTCTGGTAGCGGCTCAGCTTCTGATGGCAATCGCTTAGCTCGGTGCGCAGTGTCTCAAAGTTGTGCCTCATCTGAAGCATATCGGCTATCTTCTTGTTTAGGCAGCCCTGCACATAGTCGTTGTACGCCTGGAGGTGCTCCTTGTCGTGCTGCAGGCTTTCCTTATCCTCCTGCAGACTCTCGACCTTGGCCAGCAGACGTTCACAGCTGCAGCTCGAATTGGAGTAGGAGTGGGAGGAGTTATCCATCTTGGGCAGCTCGTTCTCCACCTCAAAGTGACCTTCGGTCCGACGCGATTTGGGCGTCAGGTATTCCGGCATGGAGCTGTGCCGCTGAAAGCCCATGCGCGACGCACTGCGTCGCTTCTGATCCTGGGCCTGGATTTCCGCTATGTATTGGCCCACCTTGCTGGTCACATGCCTATAGCGGCGCTTCGTGTACGCAGAGTGGATGTCCTGGTAGGACACAGCCTTGTTGCTGCGTCCGTTGCTGATTACGGCACATCCTGGAATCAAAAGATATGGTCAATATATGTCGGCACTAAATTCAAAAACCACTCTAACATACTTAAGATCGGAATTTAATTTAATTAATTTATAATTTTGATTTCACATATTATGAAAATAATGAAATCTGGTAACGAAAGACAGGTTCAAAACCCATAGCTGACCAATGAAGTTTTTTACGGTTAATATATAAATTATTAATAAGTATTTGATAATAAAACGAAAATTGGTTGAAAACCCACAGCTTAGCAAGGAACTTTACAAATAAATAATCGAAAATTTAGATTTAAAATTCGTTACGTTACTTGTTTATTAATTGTAGTAGTATCAAGAAGAAAATATATTTAAAATCATTTATGTTCAAAGTATTGCAAACAATTTTTTCCGGTGTTAATATATGTACATAAGTAACCAAGTTTAAAGTGGATTGTTCAGGGGTCACTCACCTTCATCGGCATCATCATCCTCCTCATCCTCCTGATCGCGGCCCACAGGATCGCTGACACAAGTTTTGGCACTTTTGTTGGCCACATCCGCATCCCCATCCCCATCCCCATCCGCATTGTCGTAGCAGATTTCCAAAAATGGCGCGGGATCCCGCTCGAAGGCCGCCGGCTGATGATGCTCCGAAAACAAGTTGCTCCTAGCACCCAGACCACTCACATTGTTCAACTGGTCAAACAGCTCGTCCGCCGGGAAACTCTCGTCCTGGAGACTCATCTTTTGACTGTCAAAACGGAAAAAAAAAAACGGACAAAAATAATTAAACACGAGACGAAAGCACAAAGTTTGAATGACAAATGGATTCTCGTTGGAAGGGCGCCGTTATTTCTTGGCTAATTGGGAAGTGCACGGGGTGACCATAAAAAAAACTGGCTTGTCTTATGGTAACACTACGACATTAATTGATGTTTTTTTTAATTAAAAAATGTTTAAACATATAAAAACAAAGAAAGATTCGAAACGGGAGATCTCTTTTTTTATTTTTATAAAGAATTTTTATATATAAGAAAATGTTAGGCACTAAAACTTTTCAGATCAGTTAGCTACATCTATATTATTATTTGACACTGTAGCAAATATTTGAATTTCCGAATTAAGATAAATTTAAATTTTCAAATTCGGTTTTAAGGTTGCAATTACATACCAAATCTCCATATTTTTGACTGGCAAGAAAATATACCAAATTAAGAAGTAAGACAAAATGCGCTAAAGCCTGAGGTAAGCAAGCAGCAAAATCGTCGGTCACACTTGACGTTACATCATGTGCATTTTAAAAGGCAAAATTAACTAAATTTCGTGGAATCACCTTAAAATAGCATTAAAAGCTCGATTAGATCGAGCAACAGGGTTCCAAGGGTCAAGCGGTGGAAATGTACGCTTATTGGAAGTTCGAGCAACGCTTTCCACGCATTTCCAACTGAAAACGCAGCAGACGAGGCGCAGCAACAACAAAACACCGGAGAGGAAAATAAATATAAATATAAAACAAATACAAATATGAGCGAGAGTGGCAACAATCAGGTTAGTTGACAAAGCGATAGAGAGCGAGGGGAGGGGAAGACTAAACTTTATCAATTCGATTTACGCACACAACTGTAAGTTGTCAAAAAACAAAAACTTAAGATTATATTGCTTTTTGCCTGTATTTGTTGCAGCGCAATTGGACCACGTGTGTGTGTGTGCAATTTGCGTTGCGGTATTTTCCTTTTCGCCACCTACAGTGCACACTCAAAATAGTAGACTAATTATATTAAAACCCCTTGAATTGGGAAACATTTAATCGAATCCACACATAATGCATGAATTAAATAAACATTTGTTTTATAAAACATGTGGAATATTACCTGGATACATTAATAATATCTTCATTTCTTAAAAACTTTTACATTAAAACAACCTTTTTGTAAGTGCTATTTTACAATTGTAGTTGGTAAAGTAGCATATATTTACTAAAATGTAAAGAAATCTCTAAAACTATATTTCCCAAAAAGGGAACATTTTTAATTTCGAACGAATATATTAAATATATGAATGACCACCCTTAATGAGCGTGCACTGTATTATTCATTATATTTTTCCTTTCATTTTGCCTTTGGTGTCATAATTTTTCATTTAATTTCGTTTCAGTTTTGTGACGTTGATTTTTGAGCAAAGACCCCAAATAGCAAAACACACAAGAAACAGATATTTCAGTTTTGAGTTTTTGGTGGAGGAGGAGCGAACCCGAATCCCTAGGCTGCATACCTTTTGTTTTGTATCGCAATTCTCTTCTTCCCCATAAAAAAACGAACCGAACCCATCTACCATAAATCCAATCGAATCTTGAACCGGATCCCGAAATGGCGGCCTACTTGAACCGCACCATCTCGCTGGTGACCGGGCAAACGGGACCCGCCCACGACGACGACGACCGTCACGCCTCCTCGACGGATACGGTGGACAAATCCTTATCCCGACTCAACTCATCGCTGCAACCATCGGGCTCCACGGCGTCCGCCAATCTGCTCCCGGAATCGCGGCTCTATCAATCCAACGACAAATCGCCGCTCCAGATCTTCGTGCGCGCCAAAAAGAAGATCAACGACATTTATGGGGAGATCGAGGAGTACGTCCATGAGACGACCACGTTCATCAATGGTGAGTTCACTGTTGGGGAAACCTCATAGCAAATAGGGTCCTTCTACCGTTTTCTGTATATAAACTCATTAATTTCAAATACTCTGTAAAAGCCATCAGAACACATCCTAAATAGTGGGTTATGAAGTAGTAAGGAATATGATGAAATAGTGTATCTTATCTAAGCATAGTGTAGGTACCTTTTTTTGGCGAAATTCACTGTGAACTAAGTTTTAATGGTATTACTTTTTTCAGCCTTGCATGCGGAAGCGGAGATCGTGGACAAGGCGGAGCGGGAGCTGTTCGAGAGCTATGTGCACAAGGTGGCCGGAATCCGTGAGGTTCTGCAGCGAGATCACATGAAGGTGGCCTTCTTTGGGCGCACCTCAAACGGCAAGAGCTCGGTGATCAACGCCATGTTGCGCGAAAAGATCCTGCCCAGCGGCATTGGGCACACCACCAATTGCTTTTGCCAAGTGGAGGGCAGCAACGGTGGCGAGGCGTATCTCATGAAGGAGGGATCCGATGAGAAGCTCAATGTGGTGGTAAGTCGGATCCCCAGTTCGTGTGTAAACACCTCGAATTAATTATCGCTTTCGACCGTAGAACATCAAACAACTGGCGAATGCCTTGTGCCAGGAGAAGCTCTGCGAGAGCAGTTTGGTTCGCATCTTTTGGCCCAGAGAACGCTGCAGCCTACTGCGCGACGATGTCGTCTTTGTGGACTCTCCCGGCGTGGATGTGTCGGCCAACTTGGACGACTGGATCGACAATCATTGCCTCAACGCTGATGTCTTTGTGCTGGTCCTCAATGCCGAGTCCACGATGACGCGTGCGGAGAAGCAGTTCTTTCACACCGTTTCCCAGAAACTGAGCAAGCCGAACATCTTCATTCTGAACAACCGCTGGGATGCCTCGGCCAACGAGCCCGAGTGCCAGGAGTCGGTACGGTCTTTTGCGAAGCCCTTTAGTTAGTCTATAGTCTCTTCTAGACCCTGCATTGTCATTACGTGATAAACGAATCATTGCCATCACTTTTATCATGAGACTTGAAATCAAATAGAGTTCAAATACGATGCAAAGATTCGTTTGCAAGCAGGGCTCTCTGTATATATCTCTATATATTTCTGACCACTTTGTATGCCTGTTGTGTCTCTATTGTTGATGTGTGTCTTTTATTTTTGTTTATTACCCAACCAAACAACCAACAAACTATCCACTGTAATCAACGCCAGGAACTGGCTAAGGTAATGAATGAGCTAGACCCAGTATAATGAACCGCTTCCTTGGCTCCCGAATACCCAATCCAATCCACTTTAGTTTCAAAAAACCACTTCGGCTATAGCCGATGAATATTCTTGTTTACTTTCCCGTTTTGCCTACTTAGTTGCCCTGACCCTTAAATAACTAATACGTATAGTTTCTTATGGGATAATTTTAATCAATTGATAGGTTAAGTCCCAGCACACGGAACGCTGCATCGATTTCCTCACCAAGGAGCTGAAGGTGAGCAACGAGAAGGAGGCCGCTGAGAGAGTTTTCTTCGTTTCTGCAAGGGAAACGCTGCAGGCGCGCATCGAGGAGGCCAAGGGCAATCCGCCGCATATGGGTGCCATTGCCGAGGGATTCCAGATACGCTACTTTGAGTTCCAGGACTTTGAGCGCAAGTTCGAGGAGTGCATCTCGCAGAGTGCCGTGAAAACCAAATTCCAGCAGCACAGTTCGCGTGGCAAGAGTGTTTCCGGGGACATGAAAAAGATGCTGGATGACATTTACGAGCGGATCACTATATTTCGTAATCTAAAGCAGGACCAAAAGAATCTGCTCACCGAACGCATTCAGGGCACCGAGACGCAGATGATGCAGGTCACGCGCGAAATGAAGATGAAGATCCACAACATGGTGGAGGAGGTGGAGGAAAAGGTGTCGAAGGCTCTGAACGAGGAGATCTGGCGTCTGGGCGTGCTTATTGACGAATTTAACATGCCCTTCCATCCAGAGCGTTTGGTTCTGAACATCTACAAGAAGGAATTAAATGCCCATGTCGAGAGTGGCTTGGGCAGCAACCTGCGTGCCCGCCTCTCCATGGCGCTGGCCATGAACGTGGAGTCCGCCCAGACGGAGATGACCGACCGCATGCACGCCCTGGTGCCCAACGAGCAGATCCTGGCCACCAGCACCAAGATGGTGGTGCGCACGCAGCCGTTCGAGATGTTGTACTCGCTGAACTGCCAGAACCTCTGCGCCGACTTCCAGGAGGACCTGGAGTTCAAGTTCAGCTGGGGCATTGCGGCGATGATCCAGCGTTTCACTGGGAAGGTTCGTGAGCGCAGCAAGAAGGGTCAGCCGGCGCTGGTTAACCGACAGAGCAGTATTGGAGTAAGTTGCTGGGTGGGGAGGATGTGGTTAACCTCTTGCTATAATTTAATATGAATCCCCATTTACAGCACAGCGTATCGACGCCCGCGACCACGCCGGTGGAGGCCACCCCTGTGTGCCTGCTGCCCGCTCCTGTAGTGGCTGGCATTACGCCTGAACAGCTGTCGCTGATCTCACGCTTCGCGGTGTCCTCCATTGGATCCCAGGGCACCGTTGGCGGACTCGTCGTCGCCGGCATCGTAAGTGTCCTTACTCTGACGTTCGCTCTACGCCTCTTGTGCTGACAAATGCCCAAGCAGGTGCTATTGAATAGCTATGTGCTGAACACTCACCACTTGCAGATGCTGAAAACGATTGGGTGGCGCGTCCTGGTGGGCGTGGGTGCCCTCTACGGCTGCATCTACCTGTACGAGCGCCTTTCGTGGACCAATTCCGCCAAGGAGCGCACCTTCAAGGGTCAGTACGTGCGCCATGCCACCAAGAAGCTCAAGATGATCGTCGACCTTACCTCGGCAAATTGCAGCCATCAAGTTCAGCAGTAAGTAATTTTATTTTTTTAATTAATTTTTTTAATTTGAACTTATTAGGACAAATGTTAATCCTAATATTTTTTAATTATACCTACGTTTTGGCCTCCCATTGAACTGTTTTAATGATGTAATATGCCTTCCTCTCTCCAGGGAACTTTCGAGCACCTTTGCCCGATTGTGCCGCACCGTTGACACCGCCACCACGGACATGAACGACGAGCTGAAGGCGCTGGACTCGCAGCTCAACATCCTAGAGACGAACCAGAAACAGCTGAAGTTGCTCCGCAACAAAGCCAACTATATACAGAACGAGCTGGACATCTTCGAGCATAACTATATATCGCCGCAATAGGGTGGGGAACTGTGAAACACGAGGAATCCTATGCGATCCAAAGCTTTAAAATGGGCTCACAAGGAATCCGGATAAGGAAAACACATACAAGCAAATGGGAAATCATAGAAATCAAGGAAAACCAAACACTTAAACGACTACAACAACAATAATTGACTATGTTTTTGTTGCTCAACTCTCAGTTTTTTTTCTTTTTTTATATAAATGCATGATTGAGCCAATCGATTGGTAAATCTTTATTCTCTTTCGTTAAAAAAAATTGTTGAGAATTATTTTAATTCCTAACTTTTTAACACTACTGCTGGTGTGATTATTTTGTTTTTTTGATAATTGTTGACCCCGAAACGTAACATACATACATAGAAATATCCAAACACACTGTGAGCATGGCCGGGTGCCATGGAAAACCAAGTTAAGATGAATTATATTACATGCCCCCCCTATAAAGAGTATGCCACTTATTTACCTTACCTTCTAATAGAAAGTCTTGTAATTATACATATTGTTTTTGAATTGGATGTTAGAATAATGAAATGGCTCTTTGGGGTAATGCAAACATAATATACAAATTTGTTGATGTTGCAAAACAGATGAATGATTCATGAACGAAAACGAAACGAAATAAAAGATATTTATAAAAGAAGTAATTGGTGACTTAATTTACTGGTAGGGGCGAAAAAGTTAAATAATAATTTTACTTTATATGCAGCACCTCGAAAGAGAAAGAGATGGAGGATGGACTTTTAAAGAAGGATTCTATTGGCCAGAAAATTATCCTTAAGATTTAATAAAAGGATTGTGTTTTCAATTAAATTGAGCTCAATAATGTAAATCATGCTTTTACTATGATGTTTTTGAAATGTGTTCTTTTAATTATGAAATTTTTGAGGAAAAGTAAATAAAGTTTCCCTAAAGGTAAAGCAAGTATAAATGGGTTGAAATAATACAACCGCAATCCCTTTAAGCAGTAATTTCAATACAAATATTGTAAACATTTCTTACCTTTCTGTACCAAACCCAATATTTATCGCCCATTGATTGCCGACAACGCATTTCAAAATTGTCTTTTTTCTTTTAATCGTATCGTTTTGATCGGGATCACACATTTGGTTATTCTTAGTTCTTGTTGTGCCACTTATTTTCTTCAAAGCATTATTAATACAAAATGTACAAAATATATAGTTCGTGTGTTGTTCACTGAAATAAATAAGTTTGGAATACAAAATATAGTGAAATACAAAATATAGTGAATCATATAAAGGCTTGCATCTGTAAATGTCTCTAGCTGCTCCAGCATCCATAATCAGTAAATACAATACTTGGATATACTTCCTAAACAAATCGAATCTATACTTTTTTTTTGGTGTTGCACTTTCACTTGCCGAAAACAAATAACAAAAGGTTAAACGTTGATCTTACTAAATAGATATGTGTTTGCCATACGAAAAGGTGTGTGTTTCTGTTTTGAGTGTTTGGTGTGGATGTTCTGAGTTGAAGGCGTTTAAAGGTATACAAATGGATCAGTCGAAGGCTGCTCTCCGCTGCTCCACAAGCGTAGATGATTATTTGCCACGATGCCAAAACAGTGGGCGGATCGTAATGGATCGGTATAGTATGGTATGGTATCGTACGTATCACACGGGGAATTGCATCGTTTTAGAGGAAGTAGGGCGTTGTGTTCTGCTTGGGTATCACCCGTTCTGCATCCGGTACCGCAAGAAAGATTTTCGTCTGCCTTTGCTGCGCCGTTTCAAAGCTCAGGATCGCAGCCACATTCCCACATCGATAGCAATAGTTCGGTGCCGACCACACGGTCACCAGTTTGCCCTCGAACATGTACTTGATGCCCTCGTTGACCAGTTGATGCGCCCGGCAGATCAGGTCCAAGTTGTTGATCGCCATAAAGTCCTTGGTCACATTGTGGCCAAAAAGCCAGCCGGCTCCACGCGGACTCTGGCCCCAGTACTCCATGTCCTCGGGATCGGACCACACCAGATCGCAGAAGGCCCCCTTGTACGGTATCTCGCCATTGCGCTCGATCGTCCGGATCTGATCCAAGGTGATTATCTCGGGACTCAGGCCGCCGTGCACGCACAGTACCTCTTCGTCGATGATGGCGGCGATGGTGAGCAGGTCGAAGACCTTGCAGCAGTACTTCCATCCGTTGGCATTGCCGTACTTGCTAAAGCACTCGTCGAAGAAGCCGTACACCTTAGTGATCTGCCGCGTCTCGTGGTTGCCCCTCAGCAGGGTGATCCTGCTGGGATAGCGGGCCTTCAGGGTCAACAGTCTGGTGAAGGTTTCTAGCGAGTAATAGCCCCGATCCACAAAGTCACCCATGAATATGTAGTTGGTGTCCGGCACTTGGCCTCCCGTTCGGAACAGCTGCTCCAGGTCGTAGAACTGGACAGAGGGATAAACCGGATTAGTGGGCACTTCGGATAACGACAGGGACAATGCTCACCTGACCGTGGATGTCGCCGCAAACGGTGACGGGCGTGCTCACGGGCAGGATGTTCGTCTCTTCCAGCAGGATGTCGCACACCATCTCGCACAGCTTCTTCAGCTCATTCTCCGGCAGGTACTTGCACTCCTTCACTACCTCTATCCATTTGTCCACATCGCCCATGCTGACTGTATTATAATCCACTTCCTCTCCACCAAAATATTATAAATAATATAATTATTATTTGTCCACCTCTAGCTGGCAGTAAACTATATCGATATTCGCACTTTGTGATATCGATTGCCCGACAAAATCGATAAGTCGCCAATTAAAGAAATGAATTTAAAACATTTTTTGATTTTAAATTAATTACATTTTTCATTTATTAATATTGTTTATAAAATTAATAATATTTATCTATTATCAATATCCATATGTATAACTATAAAAACCCGGTTGATTTTAAATAATGATTTTTGTTTGCCAATTTTCGCAATTTGTTTGCTGAAAATAATTTTTTTTTGGCTGTGAATGCCACTTTATTGGAAATTTTATAACGAATTCAACGAGATATGACATTTCAACATACGACCACTATTCCCTGGGGTTTCGATTAAAAAACCGACAAATTGGACCGATTTTTCCGGATTTCGGCCAAAATATTTTCCAAAAAAAAAATTTTTAATTTTGTAAAAAACTTTGTTCAAAATTTTCTTCTGGGAATACAGCTTTTTGGAAATTTTATAACGAATTGAACGAGGTATGACATTCCAACATACGACCACTATTTCTCAGTGTTTTGAGTAAAAACCGAAAAATAAAGCTGCATTTTCCGGATTTCTGCGAAAATATTTTTCCTAAATGGTGCCCCCATGATTTGAAAACAAGACTAAATATGATGGGCCACTGAAATAACTTTATAGTTAGATAAATTGAAACTTTAATAGTGAACATTTCTGGATTTTAAAAAGCCCGCGGTTAGAGTGTGTGACCAGCTGGCAGGTCATGTTTAGCTGTATTTCATTCTAACGTCGAGCACCCGTTGCGGCCACACTGGCAAATAAAAAAAAACAAGACGTCGTCATTCGCGTTGGAATTCCAACAAAATAGTTAAGTTTTCCTTTTGTTTAACAACCGTCGAACAGCCAACGAGTAAGCCAGCGACGACTGCCTGGATTTCGGAGCAAGTCAGCCAGCATAAAGGTGAGTAATGTCGGAGATCCCCGCCCCCAGAGTTCGCGATTTATGAATGCCGCTGTGTGTGGAGCATTAGTCATGCCCAGAAATTCGATTTTGCTCGCGAACTGCGTCACCGCAGGACCCTGAAACCGGAATCGGAGTTACCACTGCCCCCGGGATTGGGTAACCATTATCTTCGATTTTCCACGCTCCCAGTGGGAGTACGGTATCGGGTAGCAAGAGGAAGCAGAAGCCTAGGTTTTCGCCCTTAATTGGAGGCCAAATCCCGATGGGGAGGGGCCAATAACACCTCGAAATATGTTGTCTATAAGCTATATTGTGGAACTTAACTTAGAATTTATCCCATCCAAAATATTTGCATCTGAATAATATAAATATAGGATATAGGCCAAGTATAGATCGGATCTCAGTCATTTTTATAAAAGTCGACCTTGCAACTATAACTCAAGTAATAGTTGTAATATTTATAAAGACAGGATATACAGCCTGAACAATTTACATTAACTACAATTTAAACATTGCATAAATCAATATACCTACCAATTTATTTGTCGTAAACAAACATATAGTTATCAACTCCGTTCAATAGCTTAAATCCTTATTATCTTTAAACTAATAATTCAATTCTATATAGTTGAATTAAGAATTCATTGCATACAATCTTACGTTCGATATGTGACCAATCTCTGGTCAGACTAAATAGATACATTTATATTAAGTTTATCATAAACTGCATATAAACTGCATTGACGTCGCAATCAATTATTATTTACTACCGAAATTTAAAAATGTAACCCGAAAATATACACAAAAAACACACTTGCCAACGCAAGTGATATCATTGCTGTAAGGGCGTTTTAAAGTAAAGTAATTGAAGATTTATGTTTTAATTGGTACACCATTTTCACTTTCCAGCAACATGGCAGCCGGAACCACACTACAGAAGGCCATCGATCTGGTGACCAAGGCCACCGAGGAGGACAGAAATAAGAACTACGCGGAGGCATTGCGTCTTTATGAACACGGAGTGGAGTACTTCCTGCACACCATCAAATGTAAGTGCTTCTTCAGGAAAGAAAGTACATTTAAAGGTTGAGCGATTAAATTTTCATATTCTCAAAACGCTATTTGAATGAGAACATTATATGTAAATTACTTTCCAACATATTTGCAGTCAACTTGTATAATCAATTGGTAAAATACTAATAAAATGGTTGGCTCCTCCCAAAACAGATGAGGCGCAGGGCGAGAAGGCCAAGGACTCGATACGGGCCAAGTGCCTGCAGTATTTGGACCGGGCCGAGAAGCTCAAGGAGTACTTGAAGAAGGGCAAGAAGAAACCGATCAAGGAGGGCGGCGAGTCGAGCGCCAAGGACGACAAGGACAAGAAGAGCGACAGCGATGATGAGGACGGCGACGATCCCGAGAAGAAGAAGCTGCAGAGCAAGCTGGAGGATGCCATTGTCATAGAGAAGCCGAAGGTGCAATGGTCCGATGTCGCCGGCCTAGATGCCGCCAAGGAGGCGCTGAAGGAGGCCGTTATCCTGCCGATTAAATTCCCGCAGCTGTTCACCGGCAAGCGTATACCGTGGAAGGGCATCCTTCTGTTCGGACCGCCCGGTACTGGTAAATCGTATCTGGCCAAGGCCGTCGCCACGGAAGCCAATCGCTCCACATTCTTCTCGGTGTCCAGCTCCGATCTGATGTCCAAGTGGCTTGGCGAGTCTGAAAAGTTGGTCAAGAATCTCTTCGAGCTGGCCCGCCAGCACAAGCCCTCGATTATCTTCATCGACGAAATCGATTCAATGTGCTCGGCGAGATCGGACAACGAGAACGACAGCGTCCGGCGCATCAAGACCGAGTTTCTGGTGCAAATGCAGGGCGTCGGCAATGACACCGATGGCATCCTCGTTCTTGGAGCCACCAACATACCCTGGGTCCTCGACTCGGCCATCCGTCGGCGATTCGAGAAGCGCATCTACATTCCGCTGCCGGAGGCGCACGCCCGTCTAATCATGTTCAAGATCCATCTGGGCAACACCACGCACGTGCTCACCGAGCAGGATCTCAAGGAGTTGGCCGGCAAAACCGAGGGGTATATAACCTGACATTTTCATTGGTGGCCTTATTTATGTGGCTATACGTTACAATTCATTCCCACATAAAATCAATCCACCTTGCCCGCTTTTCATATCTAGAATTTCAAACTAACTGATTGTTTTCTCTGTGTTGCAGCTACTCTGGCGCGGATATATCGATCGTGGTGCGCGATGCCCTCATGGAGCCTGTGCGCAAGGTGCAGACCGCCACACATTTCAAGCGGGTATCAGGTCCGAGTCCCACTAACAAGGATGAGATTGTCGACGATTTGCTGGTTCCGTGCTCACCGGGCGACCAGGGCGCCGTCGAGATGAACTGGATGGATGTGCCCAGCGACAAGCTCTTCGAACCGCCTGTGACCATGGTAAGGATTTGGAATTCATCTACATTTATCCAAGTACTATTTTTGGTATCCTATTTTTGTAGCGCGACATGCTGAAGTCCTTGTCCCGCACGAAACCCACTGTCAACGAGGACGATCTGACAAAGCTGCGCAAATTCACAGAGGACTTCGGCCAGGAAGGCTAGACACACGATCCCCGCCAGAAACCGTCAGCACCACCAGCTAATTCTAATTGTTGCCTATTGCATAAATTCAAACACGTTTTACTTCTGGCTCTCCTTAAACATTTTTTTTTATTTTATATATATAATATGTATACATACGATATATGGTTAAATTGTAATTCAAATGCGTCGTGCGATTGCTAAGGAGACAACGGAGATGCAGTGAGCAGTGAGAAGAGGTTGGGATTGTTGTAATCACAAAGTCAATGTATTTTTGTACTCTTAATGTTAAGTGATAGAAGAAACCCGAAATCCAAACCGAATGCAATATGTGTGTCCGCCGTTGCGCTTGCGCAACGTATTTGCCACTCGGACTTGCCACGGACACCTAACCAGATCGCATCAAGAGGAGGAGAAGGACGGAGGAGTAGCAAGTGGAGGAGTTTTAGCGCAGCCGAGCAAACCTATTTAAAATGTAACGTACCAGAAATAAAAGCGAAAATTGTATACAATACCGACATCCCGAGAATGACAATTGCCAATTGCTAGTGACTCGGCGTGCGGGGAATACCTCCGCCGCAAATGACCCCATTCCAATGTAAGCCACCAGGTGGGTGGGAAGCGGACAATCGGCCATGTGGAGAAACTAAGCGAGTGGGAGTATTTTCGGCCTAAAGTGGCGCAAAAGAACGCGCCACTTTTGCCGCCTGCCCTACATGCCACATGATAAGATCTTTCTGCGCTGCCAACGGCCCACCAACATAAGTTCGTTTCTGGCCGATCGGCCAGATATTATCTATCGGGCATCATGTGAACGCCGCCGGCGCACAGTGGGCACAGATGTCTGGAAATAAGTGATTCCAAAATATCTCCTATTTTTAACCCTTTTTTGTATAGGATTTTAATGTTTCTGGACTCTATTGATAAATTGAGTTAAATTGTATACCTCTTTTTTAGCCTTATTATGTATCGAAATGATCCTTAATATATTATGAATTCTAATGATTAATTGACTTAAATATTATACCTCCATTATGTATCGGACCTTAATAATTTTTAATATATTGCAATGATAACGTTTTATTTTATGTTAATCTAGCTTTAATTAGTTCGGCATCATTTTAATAAGTAAAATAAATGCTGTAAAATATGAAATGCAGATTTTAATTTTATGTTTGTTTAATTTTTTGACAATTATTTACAATTTGGATTTAAGCAACTTTTAAAATGAAGAAATTAAATAAATAGAAGTTATAAGCAGATTATAATACTGATGATAGATGAAAGTATAAAAAGCCATTAAATTTAGTTATGAAAAAAAGGGTTTGGTTATCTTCTTTATTAAAATGTTTTATATAAACTGTATCCAAAGGTATTTAAAAAAGCTTTTTAACAAATTAACAATTAACAATATTACATTTTGTATATTATAAATAATATTTTATGATTTTAGTTTGTTTATTTTAGCGATCAATTCCATAGTGCGCCGCCGAAAGCTCCGAGCAGCGATCGTGGGGCTCGGGCTCGGGTTTTTCAACTTCGGATCGTTGGGGTTCCGATCGTGAGTTTGAGCCGGGCTTTGGGCTAGAGTTTCAGTTGATCTTCAGCCGCAAAGGCTAGAGGTTCGGGAATCCAAGATCGGTCCGCGTTGATATTTACCAGCTTTTCGCCCGCACATTGACAGTTCCGTTACGTGAGTGCAGCATTGCACAGAGCCAAAATATACAAAGATACAAAGCCAAAAGATACAGATACACGGCAACAACATTTCTCGGTTTGCTTTGCGCAACTTTGTTTTCTGGTGGCAAGCGTGAAAAAAGTGCGTATTTTGTTGTGATTTGTTTTTGTTTGGTGTGCAATTGGTTTTTGTTTTTTTGTTTGTTGTGTTGTGGTTTCTTGAGGTGCATTAATTACCTGGCTTATGGGCCTGGCCCTTTTCTTTTGGCCTCCCTGGTTTTACCCACAGTTTATTTGATCTCTTTTTCTTAGTGCGGTCAATAGTCCACGGAGAAAAATTATTTACCATTTAGCCATTATAACACATAAAGTATTAAACATGTCTTGTTGTTATAAATTTTAAAATAATCATAGGTTTTGTTTGAATGTTTTTGACAACATCTTAAACCAACTTTTAATTGTAATGCTTAGTTTATTTTTTTTTTAACTATAACTTTGTTAAATTTGAGTAAGACACAAAAAAAGCTGCTTAAAAACTGTATTAATTCTCATTTCTATTAAACAATTTTGTTGATCTATATCTTTCGCTGATGTTCTTTTCGATTCTTTAATGTTTGATTAGGAGAGCTAACAATTCATTTCTTTTTAATATTTGTTTTGCTGATGGAATTTCTGACTTTGTTATCTGTATCTTCTAGATATATAAGATATATGTTTTAAGCGGTATGTTGCTGAAGGTTTCTTGTAAAAAATGTGGTAGTCAGCATGATGTGGACTTGTGGGAGAGCCAGCAAAGGGGCCATGAAAAATGTATAGTAATTTTTCCCAGTGTGGTACTGCCGTGGTGAAGCGCAACTTTCACGCGCTTCAGGTGAAAACCGTGAGCCGGGTCCGAAATAAAAATAAGCGAAATGAAGAAGAAGTTGAGAGCGAAGCCGCACAGCAGCCGAACACACATAATTTGTTGTTATTTTTGTGTTGTTATTATTATTATTGTTATTGTTGTTGGTATAGTTGCTGCTGCTGGTGGACTGTGTTTTTCCCCCATATTCGCATTGTTTTACTTATTTTTTTTTTACGTGCCTTACTTCGAGTTTTTGGCTACCGTTTTTTTTATGTGTCAGTTGGAGTTTTGCGAAACTATTTCAGAAATGCATATTTCTTGCGGCGCAAATTTGTCCAACTGACTGAGTTATGTACATAAAATTAAGTGCATTGCAGTGTACGGGAGTAGCTTTTCATCCTCGTAGTTTGTTTTTTTTTTTTTTAAGTGTGTCGCCCTGCTTGCATTGATTGCATCCAGTTTGTTTGGTTTTTCGTGCGACCAGGCATATTATGCATGTTTCGATTAAACTTGTTTGCAGAGGCATTAACATCAACACCTGAACTCCCCCCTCCCCACCCCACTAGCAGATCAGAAAAAACTAAAAATCATGCTGACATTGACACGAATTGTCGACGCCAGCAACAACTAAAAAAAAAAAAACAAAACAAAATAAGACACAACACAAACAAAAGTCAAATCATACAGTTTAAAGTTGAAATCCAAACAAAACTGCCAACTCCAAATTTATGACTAAGATTTGTTGTATGTGGCTCCACAATTAAAGTGCATAAAATTCCACCAATGTCAGAAGCCAACAACAATGAAATATATTAATTTAGCTTACTAATTTGTTGTTGGTTCATTCGGTGGCACATCGCACCGAAAGAAATAATAATATTGAAAAGCGGTTAAACTTGCATGATTGAAATAATTCTTATTTATTAACTTGCCAAATATCAATTTGTTGATAGAGCTGTATTTATTTCAAGTTGATTATTTCACGTAGAGAAAAAAAGAAAAGTTAGTTGGAGGACATCATTTTTGCAGTCCAAATATCAAATAGACCTCATTGACCATTATTTTTTTCCGTGTGTCATTTTTGAATTGCATTTGGAGTTAAACAAACCGATCGAAGAGCCAGCGAACAATCAACTCTTGATGATTGCTGGTTGTCGATTGGCTTTGCTGGCTGGCGGTTACCACCTGCCTGCGTCGAATTGCCCGAGGAACAAGGTCGTTTACCACGCATATTATCAAATGCAAATGGACATTATGTCTGCTAAATGCTGGAAAATTTCCTCAAATTAATTAAGCGTAATTCGTTGGATAATGGCTGCATTCAATTTGTTTACCCTTGCCTTGTTCACTTATGTATGTACATCCAATTGTGCCATGTCTTTCGATGCGCCTATTATTTTATTTCATATTTTATTTGTCTATCACTTAAAGTTACCAATTAAAAAGTTATAATTGCTTGGAAAAGAGACTATAAAAACCAGCGCAAACAAATTAAATTTCTTTTGTTCTTGACACAGCAAAGCGAGGCATGTAATTACAAAGAATAATTATTTTTATCTGGTGCGTTAATTGTGGTTGTCATTACGTTGGCCAAGAGAGTGGAAAGCGAGAGATAAGTCAGAGTTCTAGATTTTCAAGCTTCGATTCTGGGAAAATTCTATTTAAGTGTGACACTCTTTTTTCCACACATTTTTATGCCATATAATTAACATTTTTCAACCCATTTCTATTTCAAGGAAAATGCCTTTAACATAAGTTTGATTTAGTTAATATCTGTCAAATATTTTTAGAAGCCTTACATACATATGTTATTAATAGGGATTAATTTAAAAAGGCATATTAGTTTAATTTTGCTTATAATACTGAACGTTTACTTTCTGATAAATAGTTTATGTTGTGTCAACATAGTTTTACCATATTTTTTTCTTGTGTAATCTAGCTCTTCTTCAGACAAGATATTCTTTATGGCGGCTCTCTCTGCTTTTTATTTAATCATCTCATTGTCGTTGGGTAACTGGGCCAGAAGGTTTCATAAGACAAGAAATGATATATGGTAGTGCCTCATTAGGTCAACTCGTTCCATGAACCATAACTATAACTATAGCTATAACTGGCAACTTGATGCTGTCGCCGGGAAATGACAAAAGAGTGCTGGTAACATATTTCGGATCGGAGTGTGGTGTTCCCGAAAACTGTGTCGCATATACCTAGCCCATTCATTGCATGCATGTAATTGTGCTCGTTTCATTTTCGGATTGGCTGCTGTTCCACTTTACCGTTGCATTTGGCTGATTTATGGAATATTGTTTACATATTACTGCTGTTCTGCATCGCCAATGCGGATTGCATGGCCCCACGAAAAGTTCTGTGTGACGGGAGGCATAAAAAGCACCTCGAAAACGGGCATAAATAGCCGCCACTAATTGCATGCAACAGCTATGAAAAGGTACACCTATAAAAAAAAAAAGGTTTAAGTCTTAAGCGGAAATGTGCAGTAATTTTGAAAACACACATATGTGATTACGATCTGAGAAAGTCATTTTAACTTTTAAGCTTAGGTAGCTTCAGCTTTAGCTCTTTAGGTATTCTTGGTATTTTTATTTGTAATAAAATTTACATAAATAAATAACTTTACAGCCTCAAATTATGAATTTAATATTAAATTATATTTAATAATTTATAAACTTCGTTCAGTTTTCATAGGAACAGGCTAGTCAAATGAAAAGTCAAAGCTTGGTTTTTACTCCCTTTTAATTTAATTTGCTCGTTTTTTCCTGTGTAACTGCCAACATTGGGTTGAAAATCCCCAAAGGCGCGAGCGGAAACTTTATGCTTTGCTGGTTTTCGTTATATTTTCTTGCCCCAGCTTAGGCTCTCGACTTGAATCGGATCGGCTTCCTCCCTTTTTTTTTTAAGTTGCTGGGTCCGTCGTAACAAACAGGAAACTATTTTATGCTGCCATGCGAAAATTGGCTAAGGAAATTTATGTATGTATTTTCGGTTTTTGGGTTTTCCTTACTTCTTTTTCAAATAGCTTTTTTTTATTATTGGGATTGCAATCAGACAACGGCCATCGGTGGCAAGTTTGTTGCCTAAGTCTTTCGTTTGGCAAGTGGCATTTTGCCTAAAACATGAAAAAAATCTCTAATTATTAGAAAGGCTGATTAGTTAAATATAAAGTAGAAATAAAAAAATATAGTCATGCTATTTTAGGCAAAAAAATAAAAAATTTTAAACCGAATAAGAATGTTGAAACCGGAATTTGCGTTGTTTAAATTCAATTGCACTCAAAACTTCAACAATAATGAATCGATTGCCTTACTGTTTTTACGACTAACCTCATTTTTGAAATCAGACTGGGAACCCATAAATCACATTGGATTTCTTCATTATCTGTTCGATTTCTTAGTGGAATTTACCGTTTGGGCTTGGAGAGTAAAAAGTAATAATAATAAAAGTTTTAACTATTGCATTGGGGTTTTTGTTTTTGTGCTTCGCTTGACATGAGCACATACTGTCCGTCTGTCTGTCTGTATGTATTTGGCTTGACAAATCAATCAAACCGCTTCATGCGAATTTCGATTGCACAAAGACACAAGGCGAAGACAATGCATTGGTATTGTTTTTTTTTTGTCTGGCATTTGGCAATGCCGAGTGGCCATTTCCATTGTCCGCCATTCGTTTGGCCCACGTCCAGAGTTTAATGAGACATTCGGCCGGACGGACAGAAGGTAGAAAAGCGCTGCCAGCTACGGACTGCACTTTTCTTTGGCTTGGTTCGGTTTTCTCTATCGATTCGCAGACTTTCCCAGCCAGTTCTCAGTTCGTCTCACTTTTTCCCATTCAAATGGGACCTAGACACAGGAAAAAAAATTATATTTAAAATTATTGTACTGATGCCAGGCACCTTAATAATAAACTTAATTTTAGAAAAATTTACCAGGCAAAAAAATCTTAAAGATACAAAGTTTAAGATTAAATTAAAGGTAATTTAAAAATGTCAAAAACATATTTTCTAAAATATCAACTTCATACTTTTAATAAAGGAAAGTTCGTAAAACTAAAGAAGATTAACTTTCCCAAAGAAATTACAAATAAGCCTTGAAAATATTACACGACTTTTTGATATTTATTATCTCAGTGTATTCCGAGTTTCTAATTGCGACGGTGGCTTCAAGCACTGAAGAAGATCTTGAAGAAATAGCTAATTAGCCTTGCAAATTTTATATTACTCCTTGATCTTATTTTGCTCAGTGCACTCTGAGTTTCTAATTTTAAGTACTTGCATCGAGTTTTTCCGTGCGATCGCAGAGATCACAGGCACTCGTTCTTCGTAATGAGCTGAATTAGCCGTCAAACGCGAAAATGAGCAACGGAAAGCGTCAGAGCCGCCAAATTGGGTTAATCTATTTGAAAGTGGAAGCGCTGGCCACAGCACCACCAGCGAATCAAGTCTACCCACTATATACACGTATATATGTATACATAAATATCAACATCTGATAGAGCCCATGCGAAAGTCGCCTTAGAAGCATTATTTTGTGCGTTACTTTCCATTTTGATGGCGATGTTCAAGAGTTGGTGTTGAGCTGATGATGCTGACTTTTGTCGCTGCTTTCTCAGCAACTTCACCTGTCAACATTTTTCCATTCTTTAACGGCACTCCATGTTGAGATCTTCACACGATCTTCCAAGCGAACAAAGGGCCTCCACTTTGGTGATGATAATGATCATGTGCTGACATCCGCTCGGATCGGTGGGCTATAGCTAATGAAGGTGATCGGTTTGGTCACGGCAAGTTAAGGAAATCGCAGTCGATTTAAAAAAAAGCTTTCGTTAAATGTCTTTTCTTCGACATAATTGAGTCATTAATTAAACTTATTTTTACAGCTTTGGTTTATTTGGAATAACAATTTACTTCTTGAGAAAACAAAACACTAAAAGATTAAAAGCTCTTAAGAAAAGGGTTAATGAAATAAACACAAATCAACATCAACAAATTTAAGTATTACTTTGAAAACTTATACTTTATTTAATGATAAATATTTATGATTATCAGAAATGCGAAATTCCCGTTAGATAAATTAATTAAATTCTTAAAGAATGTTAATAGAATTGTATATCTTATTGAAGAACATTGTGGTTTTTTCTTATACTCCCATAAATGAATACATAAAAGAATTTTCTGAAAATTCATTATTTTTATCATTAAGCTTTAATGATTTTATTGGAATTCACCTATTCTTAATCATGCGATTAGATAGTTAGCATAACAGCAACTTCACATAAGGCTTAAATTTGTATAAAATTATTGTGACTTCTAGAAACATAATATTTAATCAGGATTGATTTGAATTCAGCACAATTTGATCTTTGTTTTATCACCTTTATATTATTTGGCACATAAAAACGAAGTTACTTAAAGTCCAAGCAATCTATACTCAAGTTCAGTTAAGTTCATTTGAAATTTTGCCATGTAATATTATAATAATGCATTCGTTGTCTGCTGAAGCGATGACAAAATATTTCGTGGGCGGGCAATTTCCAGAGGTACGAGCATTTGACAAAAGTATCTTTGTAAAATGTTGCACAATCGCCGGTGTTTGGATGCTAATTGATAGATCACGTCCTCCGCCCAACGAAAGTGAAATGAGTGTTGATTGAACAACGCGTTTGTTAATCGATAGGGGAAACAGTTTCGGATTCCGCTTCAGATTCGGTTTCAGTTTCAACTTCAGTTCCAGTTTGGCGATTTGGTGGCCAAAGGTTTTCACTTTCGTTTGTCACATCTTCGCCTGAGTCACACACCTTCATCCGCCTCCATCCACCGCACCTCCCCGTGCAATTTGGGCCGAGTATATTAGCCAAAAGTCAACAAATGGCTTTGTCCGCCTGTTGACCCAAATGCGTGAGCCGGCCAAAAGTTGTCGGGCGGGATTTAGCGGCCAGAATGCTCGTCAGTCAAGTGTAAGGTCAATGGACTAGGCGCCGCAGTTGCAAGATAAACGAGACAAGAGACATCAGACACAAGACACCAGACAACAGACACCAAACGTGAGACCATCGCAGCACATGCGCAACATCCTGTTCGGGTGGCACTGCAACCGGCCTATTATACAATGGCCACTGGCTACACTGAGAAAAATAACCAGACCATTGGCGAGCCACTCACGACTATTCCTTTTTCTTTCATATTTACTTTTAAATTGTCGATTTCTGGGGATTGGTTCTAGGATTAGCTTATCTATTCTATGTTCATAGTTTTTGAAATCTTAGTATGTCTAGAATTTTTCCTCGAAATTGAAAAGGAAAAACAAAGTCTACAAATCGACATATCATTTCATGTAGCTGAGGTGGTTTGAGGTGTATGGGTATTGTACCTTGGTCCTTGTATAATTCGTACAAGTACTTAGGTTCAATTCCTGTACAGGCCACCCCAGCATTTTGGCCTTTTTTTTTATTTACTTATAGCTATACCTTGTGTTGGTCAACTTTATCCGATTTAACATTATTGGCAAATTAAAATATTATCAAAATATAAGAGTACATTAATAATGTAATATAATCAATAAGTTTGGACTTAACATTCCATGTAGCTGAGGTGGTCTGAGGTGTACGGGTGCTGTTCTTAGGTCACAAAGGGAATCGTAGGATCAATTCCTGTATGGGGCGACCTCAGCATTTTGTAATTTTTTTTCTTGTTTCTCAATAAATATATACTATATATTGAACTATTTACTCATTTTCTTTTCTAGAAGCTTGTTAAGTGAATGACGCATTGCGGCAATTTTATATTATTCATTTTTAAAATGAACTTGGTATTGTTAAGTTTGATACAAATAAATATAAGTTATCGTGTGCCTCCATTATATTTTGTTCGTATTATATATCATTATTGTTTTTCTTTTTTTAATGTCATTAACGGTTGAAAGGAAGACTATTTTGTATATTTTATTTGTTTGAAATAATATTTTTTTCTGTGTGCAGCGAAACCGTTTAACTTATTTGAGTTTGACTCTTCTGATTGCAGACGACTGATCGCCAGCCATCAATCAGGCCATCAATCAGTCAATGCCGCTTGTCGCAAATTGGAGCTGGAGCTGCAGTTGGAGTCGGAGTTGGAGTCGTTGGAGTCGCTCTCCCTTCTCGGAGAAAGCCGAAGTGGCAACCTGAAACCTGGACAGTGGATCAGCGACAGAGACCGCGATCCAAGACTCAGTACTCGGTACTCGATACCTGATACCCGATACTCGACATTCGGCATCCGAGATCCCAGTGGAGTTTGGCGACACTGTCGGCGGTGTCTATGTCTGTCTGCCTTTTGGCTAAGTCAGTCAGTGAGTCAGACACTCGAACTTGTTGTCATAGTTATAGTACCGACTCCACAACTACAACCACATCCACATCCACATCGTCTTCGCTTGGCTTTGCTTCTTTTTTTTTGCTGCTGCTGCTGCTGTTGTTGTCGCCCCGCAGGTTCACAAATAAGTGAAAGTGAATTTGTTTATTGTATATTTTGCTATTACCAAAGCGAAAGAGACGCATAACACCATTGAGACAAGATCTACAACTGGAGACACTGCAATTCCATTGAGTGAGAGAGATCCAAGGGGCAACAGATTGGGCATTCGATCAATGAAGATCGTTGTAGAACAAGCAAACTACGAGCTGCGATCGAAATCAGCATGTTGAGTGCTAGCTATATATTTCTGGTGCTGCTGACATGCCTCACGGCAAATGGTGAGTATACGCCCCGTGGGCTCCATTAACTAATTGCCAGCCGGCGGCGCGAGACATTAACTAATTTACTTAGTGCTCGACTCGTATTTGCTTTTAACAAGTGTCTGTATATGTATTTGCATGTATGTATATCGCTGTATGTGGGTGGTGCGGTGATTGTGTCAATTGAGAAGACGATCAACGAACCACTTCACTGCGTTGATTGCACAATGGTCCACAGAGCAGCTTTTCAAAGGGGCACATATGCTGTGTTTGCACAAAGAAAAATAATGTCCAAAATGGGTCATTCTTTTTTATGAAAATCCGTATAGATTGCAAAGATTCAATTGCACGAGAAGAACTAAGGTTCAAATTAGGTTACAAAACTAAAGCTGTCGTATACGTAATTTTTACTCGCCATGAATCGATTTTATCTAAATAAATAGACATTGTGTATCCTCTTTAAAACAAAAAACAGAAGTTATTTTCCTTAAACTATTTTGGTCGACTTGCACAGGTTTCTAAATTCATTTATAAATTATATATTCTTTTGGCATTTATAACAGCCATTTTCTTACATTATTTAAATTAATTTCCTATCGTTTTTACTGTGTACATTTCCATGAAGACAAGTGTCTGATTGTCTGTATTGTGAAGGTAAATCCAATAAAGCAAAGAGCTTCCAAGATTAGTTTACCCTTGAGCTGAGCCATGAATTGAAGAGCTGAGGATCTTGTAATTATTTATTTATGTTTATTAATAAATTTATAAGGGAACTGCTTTTTAAAAGCAAGGACAGAGATAGTTAACATTTTTCTAAGGGATTCCAAAGCGAAACAAGGTTCATGTTTTTTAGTCTTGAATTTTATCCCGGATTTTCTTTAGATCAACTTTTACATTTCGTCAGAACATTTTATATATCTGAGGTGCTCTGAACTGTATGGGCATTGTAAGTAAAGTCCTTAGAAGTCTCGTATTTATGGCTAAGGTTCGGTTCCTGTACAGCCAGTACTTTAGCATTTTTGCATTTGCAAAATACACTTTTTATTGATTTCTATAAAGAAATAAATCGCACTATTTCCCCATTTCCTTTCCTGGACATTAGAAGCTCGTTTTGTGGACGACGCGTGTTGACAACTTTGGGCAGTGGGCTTGGTTATTGCTTTTAGTTTTGGTTTCAGTTTCGGCTTTAAGGTATTTAGGTGTTTTAAAAACGCAATCACGCTTCGGCGATTTATCATACAAACTCGCACACGAACAGCGGAGTTATGTCATCCGCATGCCGTGCGTTTCGAATCGAATCGTTCGAATGTTTGGCGAAGTGCACGAGGAAAACGTAAGACGGAAAATTAAAATTAAAATTAAAATAATTCACGCGTTGTCATTGGAAAGAAATTTTAAATAGTTTGTCACCACCTTGCCTTGTTATATCAGTAATTTGGGCTGGGCTTAATTGGTTAAACCCTAGAAAATGGGTAAACCTTAGGTATATCAATGCAATACCTATATTAAATAGCTCTATATCAATTAGAAAGAATTTCTGTTTGGACTTTTTTTTATTGAATTATAGATATACCTCGCGTTGAGCAATTTTTCAATTTTTTTTTTCATGATAGATAAATTCTTTTTATACAATGAAGTAGGATCTCTTACTTTGTTGTTTCCAAGAAAGCTTTTAGATGCATTGATTCAAAGCATATTTGGTTGATAGATTTATGATTATATATAGCTGGGAGGAGCTAATGGAAATCCCAAAATCCAATTAAATCCAATGTATCAATCGGCAAACGTGCTCGCCATGCAAAGAATCGTATTTATTGAATTTATTTGAATTTTATTACTGATATCCCACTGATTCACATTTGACTGCCTGTTTTGTTTTTGGACATTTATAGCTGTCGCCCAGGAAGTGTCCACATTGTCGAGCTCAGCGCCCTCGCCATCGAATTTCGCGGAGCTTTCGCAGGCTGTTGAGGATTCGCTGGTGGACTATGAGGAGCACCAGAAGGAGCGACTGCGTCAGGGCCACCGATCCCGCAGGGCCGTGAAACGGGTTTGCTATGGCGAACTGGGCTGCTTCGAGGACTCCGGCCCGTTTGCCTATCTGGAGATGCTGCCCTCGCCGCCGGAGGAGATCAACACCAAGTTCTATTTCTACTCCACCCGCCAGCGATCCGATCGTCCGCTGATGGAGCTGTCCTTCCTGAACATGACCAATGCCTTCCGCGGCAAACGGGAGGCGGAGGTGGGCGGTCCTTCTTCTGGTTCACCCGAGGGCAGTGGCAGGTCGTCCAGTTCTGGACAGATCGCCCAGAACGCCACCTTCAGCACGGAGCGTCCAAAGAAACCGGCCCAGCCCTCCATCGATGATCTCGAGGGATTCGATGAGCTGTCCGTGCGGGTCATCGTCCATGGCTTCGGCTCCGCCTGTCCGCATGTGTGGATCTACGAGATGAAAACGGCCCTCATGGCGGTGGTGAGTAGAGGAGTAATACCAGAGTTATATTGCTAAACTGCAGTTAAAACTATTTAAACTAGATTGCATTCATGTAGGCTGACTTGTGTTGGAAACCTAGACAACATTGTTTTATTTATGACTACCTCTTTTCCTTACCTAAGTATTGATATTTATTCACCTTGATCATTAAAAAATAAATAAAATTTTTTTTTTTTATTTCAAATCTTGAAGCTTAATTATGCACCTAAGTAATTATTTCAGCCACTAACTTTTACCTTTACTATAAGCTTTCCTAACCCTGACTATAACCCATTTCTCATGTGTTATTATTCGTTATATATGAATGCATATATAAATAATTTCTTCAGGAGGACTGCATTGTGATCTGCGTGGACTGGGAGAATGGAGCCACCTTTCCGAATTACGTTCGAGCGGCGGCCAATACGCGTTTGGTGGGCAAGCAGCTGGCCATGTTGCTCAGGAACCTGCAGCAGCACAAGGGCCTCGACCTGATGCGCACCCATGTGATTGGATTCAGTTTGGGGGCTCATGTGTCCGGCTTTGCCGGCGCCGAGCTGCCCGGACTTTCGCGGATCACTGGTCTGGATCCGGCGGGTCCACTGTTCGAGGCCCAGCACCCGAAGGTGCGACTGGACAGCAGCGATGCGGAGTTCGTGGACGTGATCCACTCGAACGGGGAGAACCTGATCCTGGGCGGACTGGGCTCCTGGCAGCCCATGGGCCACGTGGACTACTATCCGAACGGAGGACGCGTCCAAACGGGCTGCTCCAATCTTTTCGTCGGCGCCGTCACCGATTTTATATGGTGTAAGTCGACTTTGGGCTTTAACTTGAATATTCTAATGATATGGCTAAGCAAATATCCACGCAGAAACATAAATTCATTTAATATGATTTTGCATTTTAGACCTATTACAACTTTTTCAATTACTTTAATTCTCAAGCTTTTTTAATTGATATTAAGATATCAGAGAAAACTATTAATCATACACGTTCACAATTTTGTTTAATCCCAAACTACAAGTTTTGACGTAACTTTTTATGTAGCTGAACTACTAGAGGTGTATGGGTTTGATTATAGGTCCTCGTGCGAAATAATAAATATATGTAGTAGACTATATATCCATTTACTTTTCTGGTCTCTAGAAGTTTTTTAATCAAATACAGCATTTCGAATATTTGTTTCAATTAAATATTTTTTTATTTTTAATGCAATAAAAACTTAATTTATATAGAGTTTTAGCTTTTTTTAAGTCTTATTAAGCCAACAGTTTTTCTCGGAATTTTGAAAGAACAACAAACTCTACATTTCGACATTTAATTTTATGTAGCAGAGGTGGTCTGAGGGGTATGGGAATCGTTCCTAGGTCCTTGTACGATTCATTCATACAAGGGCCTAGGTTCAGTACCTGTACCCGGCCACCTTAGCATTTTGCCATTTTTGTATTACTTTTTTTTCTTCTTGGAGATTAATTTGTCTTAATTTACCATTATTCTCAAATCATACTAACTTTATAATGTACTCATAAAAGTTTACTTGGCCTGATTAGTTATTTTCTGTGTGCTAATTCTATTATTTCCGCATTTTCCACAGCTGCCCAGGCTGCAGAGGATGAGGAGGGACGTTCTCTGTGCAATCATAGACGGGCCTACAAGTTCTTCATCGACTCGGTGGCACCGCGCTGCCTTTTTCCCGCCTTTCCCTGCGGCAGCTACGACGACTTCCTCAAGGGCCGATGCTTCCCGTGTGCCCAGGATGACGAGGACCTGGCCGAGGGTGTTCCCCGGTGCGGCAACATGGGCTACTACGCCGATCGATCCACGGGCAGGGGTCAGCTGTATCTGCTGACCCGCGAGGAGGAGCCCTTCTGCGCCCACCAGTTCCAGCTGCAGATCTTTAACTCCTTCAATGACCTGCCACTGCGCACTATAGGTCGGCTGGAGGCGATCCTCGAAGGAGATGGCGGTCTCAATGAGACCTTCGAGATATCAGAGTGAGTGGAATCTTATAGAAACCTAAACGGAATCGGGGGTGTCCCGGAAAACTACTAAAATTCAACGAGCCATTTTCATTTGTACTTATATTTGTTATAGTTTAGATCCTCAGGTGCACAAAACAGTATTTCTTTTGACTGTTAGAACAAAACAGCCCTTTCATGCACATTCTTTAGGTCCAAAATCCGGAAAATTCAGATCAATTTTACGGTTTTTTAATCAAAGCCCTGGGAAATCGTGGTCGTATGTTGGAATGTCATACCTTGTTGAATTCGTTATAAAATTTTCAATCAAGCTGCATTCACTAAAAATTTTGCAAAAAAAGATGGGGGTACCCCTTAGGAAAAATATTTTTGAAAAAAACCGGAAAATTAAGCTCAATTTTACGGTTTTTTAATCAAAGCCCTGGGAAATAATTGTCGAATGTTGGAATGTCATACCTTGTCGAATTCGTTACAAAATTTCCAATCGATTGATGAACCCAGCTCAAAAATTTTTTTTTTGTTAAAATTTCGCAATATATCATGGTGAAAAATGGTTAAAAAAAGGTAAAAAAAAAATTTTTCAAATCGGCCTGAAATCGATAGTTTAGATCCTCAGCTGAACAAAACAGTATTTCTTTTGGCTGTGCGTTGTTTTTTGGACCTTTTAGAGCAGAAAAGCCCTTCTATTTTAGAAAAAAAATTAATTTTTGATGTGTTCACAAACAGAAAAAAATCAACATTAGTTCCAATTTTTTAATTAAAGCCCTGAGAAATAATGGTCAGAATTCGTTATTAAATGTATAATCCATCGGCATTCGCAGCTGAAATATATATTTTTTAATGTTTGCAAAAAAGCCTTAGGAAATATTTTTATGTATTTTTAGGGTTATTATGTCATGATAGTCACGTCTTGAAAATGTATATTCTGACTTGAGCATATGGTTCGTGGAAATTAAAATAATTTTAATTTAGTGTTCCTGTGATATTTACCTGAAAGTACATTCAAATAACCCCCTACTTCTTTCCCCATTAGGAAGGACGATGCGGAGTTCTTCGCTGGGGACATAGTGTCCAAGATAATCGTGCCGCATCCGGCCCTGGGATTCCCCACCACGCTGAGCCTGCACTACAAGTCGTACAGCGGGTGGCTGAGCAAGGGGCTGCCCCACTGGGACATCGACAAGGTGGTGCTGACCGACAGCTTTGGCCGGAGCCACTCCCTGTGCCGCCCCTCCACGAAGCTGAGCAGCGGCAGTCCGGTGCGCCTGCGCCTGCAGGCGGGCAACTGTGAGCTGGACAACCAGGAGGACTACGGGGCCTACACCACCCAGCCGCCGGCTGCACCACCAGCTGGTGGACCGACAATATCACCGCCCACCGAGTTGCCCACCGATTCCAGTCCCCAGGAGTCGGGCCACTTGGCGGCCTCCGTGGACGGCGTGGATGGCGTGGAGACGGTGAAACAGCGCAAGGACATCTTCAATCTGGGCACCAGCTTCAAGTTGGCCCGCAATCAGACCTATCCCCTGGATCAGGGCGACGAGCTGCCCTGGCAGCCCATTCTGGTGGGCAATTCGCTGGACAACGAGACGGCCGAGGCGGCGGCGGCGGCGGAGTCCAGTCGCAGTCTCTCGGACTCGGCGGTCGCCGGCGAGATCTTCGAGCCCGTGCTCAAGGATCGCAGGCTGGCCGTGAATAGGGGGCGAAATCTGCAGGACTATGGCACCACGGAGAGTCCGGAGATTGTGGAGCCGGTCCTGAAGGCCACCACGCCGCGTGTTAAGCAGGGCAAGGATCTGGATTTGTCGGAGAGCGAGGTGGTGGCCGGAATGGTCACCACATTGGGCGCCATCAGTTCCGCCGTTACGGCGGGCTCCTCGCACATTCCGGCCAAGACGATGACGCAGGTGGGCACAGGACGATCCCCGGATCCGGATGAGCCGCAAACGGTGCAGCTGCTGCCATTCCGGTTGGGCGAACTCCTGCAGCGGGCGGAGCGGTATGCCCGCGAGACCCTGCTGCCACTCATATCCGTGCAGGCGCCGCGCTTCTTTGGCTTCAATGTGACGCCCCACGATCGGGGCATCGCCGGTCCAGGGGAATCGCGAAAGCCGCGCTACATTCCGCGCTACGAGGAGTCGGCCTTCCTGAATGCCAGTTCCCCGAGGAGGCGATCGCAGAAGGCCGCCCGTCGATCGGCCGTGCAGCAGAGGAACCTCTTCCGGCTGATGCGATCGCGATCTAGGGGTCAGGAGGAGGAAAGGGAGTCGGAGGAGCAAGTGCAGCAGCAGGATCAGCAGGAGGGACAGCCGCAGGAGCAGCAGAACGAGGTCAACTACTACACCAATGTGCTGCAGTCGGAGTCGCGGTCCATGCGACCCGAAACACCAGAGTACCGACCCGTGTTTATCGATCTGCCCACCTACAAGCCGCAAACTGCTGCTTCCGCTTCGGCTTCGGCTGCCGCTTCCGTTTCCGCTTCCGTTTCCACTTCCGTTTCCGTTTCGAGGGCCCGAAGGCGTGGCAGATCCCCCAAGCTGCTTCCCTGATATTCACTTATTCACATATCTCAGCTGTCCCGCCATCGGGGATGAACACTTTGTGATATGCACACCAGATCGTGGCTATGGCACAGCTCCAAAACTACAATCCCAATCCCAATCCCAATCCTAAGCCCCATTCACATTCACATTTACTACATCCATCCTCACACTGTAAATATCCGAATCGAGCAAGCAAAGATATATAATGAAATGGAATTTCAAATCGTGGACCGTTGCGTAGAATAAGACATTGAATGTAAGATTCTGAATGTGAGAAACATAGTTGTTAAGATAAAACCTACAGTCGAGGGTCTCGACTTTAAGATACCAGTATATAATGTTTGGTTTTCATTTTGGGAGGATTAACGCTATGAAAATTGGCCGGAAAATCTTGGGAATCTTCCACAGCTTGTTAGTTTTCGATTTAATATTTCGTTTGAATACTAATATTATCTAAAGAGGTAATAAATATTAAAAGATGTAGATATTTCAACTTAATCTTACCTATTCGGTTAAAAGAATACTGCTTGCGAAAGCAATAATCTGTTGTTAACAGCGATCAACTGCTTGCCTACATATCTGTTAACTTTCATCGGCTCACAATAGATACGTATTTGGGCACTGCTTACTTGCTTAAATTCAAAATATAATGAAACCCGTTTTTGTTTTTTAATTTTCCTTTTAGCATAATTTATTTTATATACTTTCCATTTAATTTGTTTTATGTTCATAAAGTAACGTGTGTCTGCCTCTGTCTGTGTGAATGTGTGTATGTTTGTATGTGTGTGTGTGTTGAGCATGTGTTTCTTGATTTTATATATATTTTATTATTCACTTTAATTTGTTCATTTGTAAGCTGCTTTGATTTGAGATCCAATCTGATTTGTTTAAATTTACAATGATTGTAAAAATTGATTTTGGGCCACCCAAGGAGGCGACCTGGGTTTTAGGTTTTATCCTTTGCTTTAAATTTATCGAAAGTCAAACGGTAGATTTTGTGCTTGCTCGCCTTGTTTGTTTGTTTGTTTGTTGCTTATTGTGGTTTTGGTGTTGTTTCTCCATGTGTGTTTGTTCTGTGTTTGTTTGCTTTTGTCTTGCTTCCTAGCTGTGTGTTTTTTTATCTTTATCTGTTTTTTGGTTTCGCTTTCTCTCGTATTTAATATATAATAATCATTTTTTGTTTTGTTTTTTTTTTTTTGGTTTAACTATTTATAAAACATTTCATTTTAGAATCTTAACAACATATATATATATATATAATATATACATATATATATTATATATTTTATAATTGCTGCGGCGTTTTTCTGTTATAATTTTATTTACTTAAGTGTTATTTATGTATACGTTTAATATGTAAATTTGTTTAGCATTAATTCATAAGTAGTTTTTCCATATGCCCATCTCTTTTGTTGTTGCTGCTATTTTGTTATTATTGTTGTACGCATAATTTACATGGAGTGACTACCGCTTTCGTAATGCTAACTCTTTCCCAGCTCAACCTTCTCTACTTGGCTCCTTTCCGTCCATATCCCCTCTATATCCTTCCACGTCCTTCCATATCCTTTCCATCCTTTATCTTCACCTCCTGCCTCCTACTTGATCTGGGCCTAATACGTTGCTCTCTGTGTGTGGGTGTGTGGTATTATCTAGGCATAGTTATCATAATTTTACTTGCATTTACTTTTATTGTTGTATTTCGCATGCTTGAGCTAAATATATTTTTGTTTGGTAGTTGCACTTTTATTGAATCGAAATGAAGACTCGGAATGGAATCGAAATCGAAATTGAGAATGAAGACTGATTTGATTTGATTTGATTAGATTTGATTTGAACTGAGTGATGGTCTGGAACTAGCACGCATATATATCCAACTGATTGATCAGTCTCTGGCTGTATATATGTGTGATAGTCCTGCGGCTTGTGTGTCTATATATATTTTTTAAATCTTTTCTTTTTATTTTTATTCCAGTCTTTGTTTTTATTCATTTTATTCGCTTCTCCTCCGGCTTCTCTGTCCACCTCATCGATCCTGAAACGAGCAACGAAAGAATCTGTGATTCCTGGAATTGGGCGGGGTATAAGGGGCTCTACTTGGGTGTCTACTTAGGGGAGGGGATTTACTGGAAGGGGCAAGCTGGACTTAGCTGGAAAGTAGCTAGACTCTGCAGACTGTACTTGATCCTAGGCATTACTTTTGTTATAATTTAGCATAGTTCTCTCTTCATTTCACTTCTCCTTCCGCTTTCTAATACCCTTAATTATTTTGGCAAGTTATCTTTACTTTGTTAATAGTTTTTTTTTGTGTCTTTTTTTTGTGGTTTTTGTGACTCTTGTTTTTGGTTTATATCACTTTTAGTTGTAGTCTGGCCAAGTTGGTTCATCTCCTCCTTCTGCCCTCTGTGTATCCTTTCTATCGTTCCTATGCTGCGGTCTCTCTGCTTTTTTTTTTCGTTTTCAATAGTAAGCTTTTTTTCTTAGCGATTTATCTTTTTGTTTAATATTAGTTTGTAAATTACGCTTATAAAAAAAAAAATTATTTTGAATTTGGTTTTTCCGTTTGCATGACTTGAAGACGATATGTTTTTAATTGTATTATTATTTTTATGTCTATATAGAGATTATTGTGTAATTATCGTAGTTAATATTAAGAATATTTTATATGCAATCTTGTGGTATTTTGTTATTGCTCATTGGTTGTGTCTAATCGATTGGCCGACCGAGAACTTCTCAACGAATCGAACGAACTAAAACCAAACTGAATCAGGACGCAGGTCCGTGAATCCATAAATCCATAAATCCATAAATCCGTAATTCCGTAAATCCGCTAATGATATAATGCTAATGGATATGGCCGGGACATTGACATGAGTGCGCGGCACGTACAAAATATGGGCTGTGGATATCGGGGATAATTCAAGTTTTCCTGCTAGTATATACAGATATATATATAGGGCCGATCTGAGTATATATATGTCTGAGTGTGTGTATTCGTGTGTGTGGTGCAAGCGGGTGTGTGTCTTTAAGGCCAAATCAAGTATACGTAAGAATGTCTTTCGGTTCTAGTTGATTCTTCCTCTCTTTCCCTTTTTATTCTCTGCCTCTTTTCATCTTCTCCCACTTTCTTCTTCATCGACGCCCTCTCTTTCTCTTTCTCATTCGCTATCGCTATCGCTTTCTTTTTCGCTTTCGTTTGCTGTGTGCGTGTGGACGGTTTTCAAAGCTGTAAATTGATTCGATTTATTTAACGTTTTTTTCTCTCCTTCTTTTTTTTTGCTTGATTTTCCCGTTTTTTTCGGTTTTTTCTTTTTTTGTTTTTACATATTTACAGATTGCTTCGGTATAAATATTGGTTTAAATTCTTCTTAATTACAACAAGCAGCAAATCAATAAAAACATTTTATTCAGTCGCATATCTAACAAAAAACATATTTATATATATCTCCATATATATATAAATATCATATATGTGTGTATGTATATATGCCTGCGTTAGCTTAGTTCTCGGCTTGGTATTCCCCATTTTTATCATCGTCGTTATCGTTATCGTATTCCCCACTTCCCAATCTTCCGTTTTGTGAGATGTTTCTTCTGTGGTCCAAAGTAATTTGTGGCTCATCTTCTTTGTCTTTGTCTTCGTCTTCGTCTGATTCTCCTCCCTCTGTTTCGATTTTTGTATTTCTTTTTTGGTTAGCAAGAGCAGTAGAAGCAAAGCTTTGTAGGTAGGATTCTAGGTATAGAGAAATTTAGATATGGCTTCGATCGATCGATTTGCACGCTAACATTCGGCACTATGCACTGCACAGTGAAGCAGTGGAAGCAGTTCATACGTATTTGTATCTTATGTTGTAAAGAATTGATATATCGAATGCGCATGCAAATTGAAATTGATAATTTTGGTTTTACCTCTTACGATTTTCCTATCTGGTTTTATATATTTTTTTGGTGTTTTTTTTTTTTTCGTTTGTCTTTTCTAGGAGTTTGACAAAAGTTGAAGTCGCTAGATTGAATGTTTTCAAATGAGAAGATTTCGATTGTTTTCAAATCACAAAAATCAGGAAGACAGCGAATCAAGTTACAACTCATGAACATGTTTGTGTGAGAGCTATTAGATCCTAAAGCTTCTGTATCTGTATTTATGTTTTGTGCAGGCGAGTGGAGACAAAAGAAAGACACAATTTTTATGCAACAGTTCTGGGCAATATTGGATATACGAATATCTCTCAAGTTGAGGTCAGAATATCGAAGCTGTTACTGTTGTCTCTCTAATGAAGGAAGACAAACTAAACTAAACTAAGCTAAACTAAACTAAAACTATAAAAACTGTACTAAACTAAACGAAAGCAGGTCCATGCACGTGTGCATCACAAGGGTCTCTATAAGAGATCATAGCTAGTACTGGATGAGCCAGGATTCCCCTACAGGTCTCATATAAAATTTGCTATTTTTTTATTGATACATTTTTTTTGGTTGTTTCCTAAATGGAAAGATCAGCGTGTGGTACCTTGGGTTTCTTCTAGTTTTTGTTCTTTTAGCGTTCTCTGTGTTTTTGTAGTGGCTGTTTTCGGTTGTCTGTATTTGCTAAGTTTAATTATTGTTTTTGTATCGTTAGCAGCTTTCCTTATTTTTGGTTTTAGGTTCGTTTTTGTATTCCCTTTAGTTAGCTATGATTTTGGTTTTTTGGTTGGTTTTTGTTTGGTTTTTGGTTTTTTTTGTTGTTTAATATTTATTTTATGTCTATGTCTATTTGTTCAGCTTCAGCTCTGACTTACTTATTTACAAAATAGCAGTTTTAGTTTAGTTTATGTATATTTAATTATATATGTAAATGTATGTATATATTTAATATATATTTATTTATATATAATCTTTGTATTACTCATTCTTTAAACTTAACGGCAGTTTTGATGTTTTTAGCATTATCATGTGTGTCTATGTGTATGGCTGTGTCTGTTGTGTCAACAAAATATAGAAACAGTGCTCGGACTAGACTTCTTATACACGTTGATGACTATCAGTGAGCATTAACAATCGGACAAAGTTATACAATAATTAACAATTTTGGCTTAAGGGCTATAACAAAGCTCCGAAACATTTATAAACTCAATTTTCTATGTCCAATTGATTGCCCTTTTAAATAAACAACAGTTTCAATCAAGTTTAAGACATTTGGTTAAACATTGCTTTCAAAGTTTATTGGGTTATACAAAAAATTTCTGAAAACATTCCCGTTTGAAAACCGTTAAGGTTTTATTCAATAGGACTATATTTAAGCCAGAGCACTGCTTTAACGACGACGGGCCGTCGTTTCATATATTTTTCTTCTTGTTTGCCTTGCCTTTAGTTTGCATTTAGCTTTTCCGTTTCCGCTTTTTGTTGCTGTTGTTGTTTCGTTTTTTTTTTGGTTTAGTTTGTTTTACTAATATTCTGACTAATATATAATTAATAGAGCATAATTTAAAGTTGAAAATAAAATTAGCAGATATTGTATGTTGTTTGTTTTGTTTGTTTTTGTCTGGTTGTTGTTGTTCTTTGTTTTTGTTTAGCTAGCTTCTAAAGAAAGGAAGAAACTCCAATTAGATTAGTCTACTAAGATAATTCGATTTTTGTTTTGTTTGTTTTTTTTTTGTTTTTTGGTTTTATCTGTTTTGTTTTGTTGTTGTTAACGATTGTTAGTTGTTAATTGCTAAATTTGAACATAGGTATCAAGTAGAGTTTTCTTTTTTTCTTTGAGTGTGTGTGGACTTGTGTGTGTGTGTGGAGGGTGTGTGTATCTTCGGTGTGGAGATTACCAGAAGGAAAATGAAAGGAGAAACAAGGAAAACCCCTATAGAAAGCCAGTCCATATTTGACTCTTTTTGGTGTCTACGAATACTCTAATTCAAGCTGAGTGAACTGGCACTGTGTGTGTGTTGTGTCTGTGTACATTTGCTGTTTAATTTACAACTACGCTGCTTACTAATTATTATAATTATAATTTAATTGTATTTATTAATAAAATTCTAAATTAGACTGCTTTTGATGACGTTTCTGGCATCCAACGTAGCATTTCACTGCGCAAATTTCGTCCATTTTCCATTTGTTTGACTGTAAAACAAATTCAAAGTAGAATGATAAAGAAAGTGACTCAAAGGATCAAATGTTGCCTATTAATAAAACTGCGATCGATTTAATAAAGGTGTAACTATGATAAACAAGCTGTTCAAGATGACTTTTTTTGTACTACGATTTTAGAGGATATTACAATAATATTAAACATTTTTTAAACATTTTAATTTATATGACTAGTTCTATGGACTTTGCCAATACATATATTTTACACTACTACATTTCGATAACTAATGGAAATTTTATAAATAATAATTAAATAATTTTTTTAAGACGATATAAATGCAGTTATACAAATTTTCAATTGCCAAAGGACTTGGCGCCCACCAAGGGACCAACATGTGAGAAGTATATGGCGCCCAACGAGGGACCAACATGTGAGAAGTATATGGCGCCCAACGAGGGACTTTGTTCATACTCACGCAATATACTCACCTAGTAGTCAGACGTCGGTCTCAATACTGACGGCCATCGCGTTATTGTGCCTTAACTGTAAACTATTTGTGCTCCGTAGGCCGTTCTGGCCCAGCTGCTGCTGCTGCGCCTGCGTCATCTGCTGGCCGTGTGGCGACTGCGACTGCTGCTGCAGCTGCAGTTGAAGCTGGAGCTGCTGCTTCTCGAAGGACTGCTGCGTCCTGAGAAACGGCACCATATGGCGGCCCGTGTGATCAGTCAGACCTGGCGTGGTTGCATCAATGCCATCATCCAAATCCATGATGTCCGACGACGATTCGGAGAGTGAGGATTTCTTCAAATGTTGACCTATATCCGGGGTCGTGGATCAGATACAACGATTAGAAAGGGGCACTAAAATGGGTTGCTCAGAGTGGGCGGGATTCAGGGATTGGGGGATATTTTCTTTTTTTTTTTGGGATTTTTCTTAACCGCTAGTAGTAGTAGTATGTACCTAGTGCACCAGGTAAATATGAACAACTTGTAACGTGGTTGAAATTTTGGCTCTGCATCTCCTCCTGATCCGTTTCGCGGTGATAGAAGTAATTGAAATTACTGACGATAACCGGTACCGGCAGTGCGATTGTCAGCACACCAGCGATCACGCACAAAGAGCCGACAATTTTGCCCCAGAAGCCGACGGGCCTGGATGCATTTTTGTTGAATGCATTCGTTTGTTTAATGGCAATATTTGTGGATTCGATTCATGTTTGTCAATGGTCATTGTCGTTGGGTGTGTTCGAGTTCGAATTGGTTTGAATATTTAAATCGTTTTTAAATATGCAAATTCGTTTCAAAGTCAATTGAATTTGGTGTGTTTTGTTGGTTTTTTGATTTGATTTGGTATTGGTATGAAGAAGAACGTAGAAGAAGAACGCAGTATGTAAATCAGGTGGTAAGAAAACAAACAAATAGAAATAAGTTATAAGTTTTGATATATTCGATATACTATTCTAGATAGCGGCTTAGATTCCGGGCCCCCGAGCTCGTGGCTCCGGGTCCAACTAAAGTGTTAAAAACTTGTTAAGAACGCAAAAGATAATAACGTGTCACAACAGATACAAATGGGTTATATAAACGAAGCGATACGAGATAGATATATTAGTGGATGGCTGGAGGCGTTCGAGTAAGTATCCGTGGGTGGGGAGGCGGGTGGGGAAAGCGATAACTGAACTCAAGGTAAAGCAAAAATCAAAACTAAATGCTCAACTAGGTATCGGTATTGGTATAAGTATAGGACTAGGTATTGTTTATGTTATTAGTATTCGTATAAGTATTCGTATGCAAACATCGAAAGCAATTCGTTGGCGGCAACCATAATCGGTTACAAAAACCAACTAAGGGTGGGATGGGTGGTAACTATAAACTCAAATCAAAACCAAAGTCAAAATCGTTAAATGAAGTACAAAAAACAAGATGATTACTTATAAATATAGATAGATGGGTGGATAGCAGGGCTGGTTTGGCTAACAAAAAACCGAAGCGTACTTATTGCCAAATGGAATAAACAAAATGTGCCGGCGTTTGGCGTCGTCGCTGTTAAACTTGACATAAATGATAGATACATAGATAGAGAGATGTGTGTGGAAAAACCAAAGCAAATCGAACCGATCGATCCTCGCCAATCCCGATTCCGATCTGGTTAGGGATCGACATAGATAATCGGTATAGCAAAAGGTCATCCTTTGCCGACTGCTTCGGCACACACACACACGCGGAGGTGGGAGGGAGACACATAGCAAGAGCGACTGATCCTTGGATGTCTTCTTCTGTCGCTTCTTCTGGGGAGTCTGTTACTCGTTCTTCTCTTCCAATTCTTCTTCTCCATCGTCTTCGTGTGGAGCTTCGTGCTCTTCTCTTCTCCTTTCTGTTCTGGATCGTCTGTGTAGACTGTCTGACTGTGTGTTTTGAACTGACTGTACTTTGGGTTTTGATTTGACTGTACTTTGAATGCATGATTCTTCGGTTCGATTCTTATTTCGATTGTGTGTGTGTGTGTGTCATGATAGTGTGCGTGTGCGTAATATTTTTTTATTTTTCCGCGTTGATGAAAATGGCAAATGGCTGATGACGAATGGGAGGGGAGGGGTTGAATGCTGCTCGGCAATTTCCCTGAACTAACAGCAAAGTTACCGTGCAGTGTTTTTTTGGGCGTGTTTTTATAAATGTGTTCGTTATATAGAGATTAGGTATAGGTAAGCGATCGTAATTAGGCAAAGAGTAGTTGCTGATATAATGCTCATTCGAGTACTCGATTCAAGGAACGAAATCAAAATCAAAGCGAGAGAAAAAACGTGTTCAAAGTGAGTATAAAAGCCAAAAAAGATTCGATTCAACTCTTTATTTGGTGTATGCATTCCTGTGTGATTGTGTGTGTGTGTGTGTTTTCCGTGTCTGTGTTTGGGTGTGTGGCTTGTGGGTTGTGAAGATATAGTAGGGTAGCAAGTAAGTTGTATTTATGCAAATGTGCTAAGCGTGCGCCCTTGTGTTTTTGGTTTTTTTTTTTGTTTTGTTTTGCTATGCGTTTGCTTTTGCGTATTGTTTTTCTTTGCTTTTGATTTGGGATTGCTTTGCTTTTGCGTTTTTTGTTTGCTTTGATTTGCTTTGCTTGGATTCGAATTTGCTGGCAGATTGCGCTTGACGCGATCTGATTCTGGTACTGTCGCGATCTCAACATCGATTTTCGATTTATTCGATTTCGATTGGATACAGCAACTGATTGCACATGCACCGGAATCGGGAAGCACAGGGAAACGGGACTTAGGAGCAGAAGCAGGAGCCGCACAGCCTCAGCATTTTGAGAGCTGTTAGATCTTCCTAGTTGTTCGTTGTTGTTCTAGACGCTGATGTTGCTGCTGCTGCAGTTGTTGCTGCTGCGGCAGTTGCTGCTACTGCTGCAGTTGCTTCTGCTGCTGCTGCTGGTTGCGATAGCGGTAATGATATAGCGATAACGGTAACGTAACGGTAACGGTAACGATATAGCAGGATAGCGCAGGAGCGTCGGCTGAGCAGGTGCAGGCGCAGGCGGCTGAGCGCTGAAGCGATTCTTACAGTTTTACATTCGGCGCAGGGGGGAGAACGTAAGCAAAAGTTTACAAAATATTCCATGTACGATTATCATTATTATGGTCAATGCTTATACGTAAATCGATATGTGTATATATATATATATATAGCGTAGATCCGAGGGCATAGGCAAAATCAAAATGGAGGCGGAGGCATACACAAAAACGAATACGAATAGTTAAATTCAAAGTCATAATCAAAATCAAAACATAAAAAGATAGAGAGTCATGGGAAAAAACCGACTGAGACTTTGCGTTTTCTTAGGGAACGATAGAAATTTTCATAGATTTTTATATATATAATATTAAAGGGTATCGTTAATGAGACGTAGACAGAGGGGGATAACCGGGCGGAGGGGGGTTTTTGGAGAGAGGTCTCGAGGGTTTTTGCACTCACCATTCGTTGGTTTAGCATCGCTTTGACTGCCGGGCCGGATTTAACCTGTTTGGACTTCAACTTTCCAAGATTTTCAGTAAGTTGCATGGATATTCTTTTTTAAATATTTCTTTTGTTCACTCTTTTTGTCGCAGTTTTATGAACGAGTCTGCGATAGTGTGTGTGTGTGCTCACGGAGATATGTGTATGCTTTTATTTTTGGGGAGTGATGGGAGGTGGGCAATATAGCTAAACTACGCTAGGAAATGTCTGCAATGGAATGTGCTACTGGCATGACATTTTCGCATATATATTTTATATATGTATATATTTACTATAGATATACTGGGGTATGACTGGTGTTTGTGTGTGTGTGAGGGTTGTCTGTCTGCGTGTTCAAAAAAGAGGGGAGGTGCCAAGCCCCCCTTTTCGGGCCAAGGGTCTGGACTTAAAGCTAAAGGAACTAGAGCCAAAGCTTACAATTACGATAACTGTAGGAATAACGATAGTGACTAACTAGTTATAATGCCACCCCCTTCAAAGAAGTCTACCCAAAAAATTACTTAGATAGGAGTACGAACACAAAGCAAATACTACCAGCTAGTCTAAAATGAGGTAAAAAGGGGCTTTTCGGGAGAAGTCGGTTGGGTTTTTTGGATGGTGGTAGATTACAGCTAGAATTGTTCGAATGAATTCGAATTGCGGCATTGCTTGCGTTTATTGGGTTAATGATTTCTTGGAAATTTATTTATTTTTTATTTTTATTGAATAACGATTATAAAACATTTCATTTTTAATCTTAACAACATTTCCATTTTTTTTTTGTTTTGTTTTCATTTTGCGTTCTCTTGTTTCTTTTGGTTTAATTTGTGTGTGAGTTTCGGTTTTTTTTGTAATATCTTATTGGGCGTAATACTAGATTTTGGATTTTGTTCTATGGGTATTATTTCGCCTGTCATTCGCATTCGAATTTGTATTATTAGTTATCATTCATCTGCTTTGATTTGCTTGTTTAGGACTGGTTTTGTTGTTTGGTTCTGTATTATTGTTATTGTTTTAAAGTTAGGCTGATGCTCTATTTTTCGAGTTCGGGTTGAGTTCTCCAAATTGAAAGTTCGATTCGATTCAGTTCTGTCCGGTCCGGTCCGGTTCGGTTGTATTGTGTAGTGTTATGTCTTGAACTTCTAACTAAACCTAAACTTATTTATTGGTATGTTGAATCAAGGCCAAATTAGAATTAAAAATCAATTAATTAAAATGTTTTGGTTTTGTTTTTGGTTTTTAAGTGTACGTTTTTTTTTAAATCTCTATTTGCAGTCTTTGTCCTTAATAGAAATTGGTTTTCTTTTTCTTTATTTTTGAAGCATTGAGAAGATTTTGAAAGATTTTTTATTTTTGTTTCCTTTTGTCGGTTTATGTTTTGATTTACTCGTATATAGCATATGGTAAATGTGTATTGTTTCATCATAATCCGTACAATCAAAATGTTTTTCAATATTTTTATATATATTTTTTTCTTTACGTATGTGTGTTAAAATTTTTTTTCGTTAGGTTTGCAATTAAATTTAATGGAAAACTTGAAAAGATTGTTTTTGGTTTGAATTGAACTGGAGAAGTCGAAGTCGAGTGTTTGTTGTGGCGTGTTAGTGTTATATTCGAAAATAATTATGCATTAATAAGTTAGACTTTTCCTTTGAGTTATTCGTGGTTATCATAACTTAGTTCTTGCTTTACAACGATATGTTTGCTTCTTCATCATCATATTCTTCTTGTCTGGATTTCCATTCACTAATGTATCGTCCTAAGTTTTTTTGTTTAACGCATTTCGCTTTTGGGTTAAAGTAGGCTAGACTAGAGTTGAGTTGAGTAGAGCGTAGAGTTGAGTAGATCATAGTTCAAGCATACGAAAGTAATACAAAAACCGAATGAAATGCGCTTTCAGCTCCTAAGTCGTGTTTGTGAGTGTGTATCTATATGTGGGTGTTTCTAATCGGCTAGCATTGATCGACTGATTGACTGATTACTGATTGGATAACTCAACAACTGCAGCTGGGTGATTGATATGCCATAGACGAGATTTGGGTTGAGCTCACACAAGTTACGTTAATCAAAAACAAATAAAATATTTACAATTCAGTATTTATCGCTATTTTCATTTTTGAGCGCCAGCTAATACAATTACAGTACGAACTAAGGATACAGAACTATCGGTTTTGCTTCAGACTAGATCCTAGATCGAAAGGGATACGGTTTCCGATTCCATTTCGACTCGACTAACTACGGATCTACGCCAAAATACAAATACAAAAAATATATATAATATATATGGAACGGAACGGAGCGAATCGGAATGGAATGAGACGGATAAGATACATAAGTCGATTAGCGAGTATTATTTACAAGGCGGATGGTGGGAGAGAGGGGGGTTGGGGCACAGGAGACTGTGCGAAATTGAAATAAAAAACGGTTCGAAAAACTTTTGTCAATTTATTTGCTTCGAAATCGCTTCTTTATTGTGGGTTCGGATCGGATCGGATTGGATCAGCATGGGGCTCCGTTTTCTCTTAATCTTCTCACTGTTCGTTCATCTTGTGTATTTAGTATTTCTTTGGTATGTTCAAGGTTCTTGTTTTCGTATTTTAGTCGGCGCTTAGTCTGCGGATAGCTAGCTTGTAATTCGGTTGCAGCATATGCATATGTCTAGATATATGCTACATGCTATATGTATTGTATATGTATATGCTGTGTTTATGTACAATTTGAAATTGTTTAGAATTTTACTTGTGTACTTAGCTCAATTTAATTACATTAAATTTTTTGTTCATTTCGAATTAATTGTAATTTATTTAAACATATAATAACATTTCTTTTGCTGAACACATTTATTCCAAAATTTTTCTGTTTTTTTTTCATGTTTTTATAATTTCAGTTTTTTGTAAGCTTTCATAGGTAAATATTAACACGATTTTTATTTTCTGATTTCTCCGCTTTATTTGTGGTTTTTGTTTTGTGTTTTTTTTTTGTTGTTCTTTAATTATAGTGGCTTATTTTGTGATTAAATCAAAGTCTTAAGATGTAGGACACAAAATATGAACGTATAATTGTAATAATAAAATTAAAATAAAATTCTAAATTCTGCTATACATCGGTAATTCTTAGACTCATTTACAGTTATGTTTGCTAAATTTATTCATTTGTCTAGATTAAGGCTAGGAAAAAAAAACAACCTTACTTTACACTCGGCTCTTTGTATCTGCTAGCTGGTTTCATTTTTCCATTTTCATGTATTGGTATCTTTTATCTTTTATCTGCTATCTGGTATCTTGAATATATGAAGCTAAAATCATCTCCTCTGACCGATCTAAAACATAAAATCTAATCTTAAGTAAGCGGTTTTCTTTTCGTTATGCTTCATTTCCCTCTCCTCAATCCTCATTCGTTTTTGGTGTTTTGCAAGTTTCATCGTCATCGTCTGGACCATTATCTATATCTTTATCTTCTCTAATGCTTATTCATCTCATAAATCTTTGCCTTCTTACAGATACAAAGACTAAGTACAGTACAATTAACTGACATTTGAAAGTGTTATTCATTTATTACTTATACTCATTAGTTTTATTGGGTTTATCGTAAGCTTTTGTTTTGTTTTTTATTTTTTTTGTACAAAATAGCATTTGCAAGATGTAGTTGTATCTGGAGAGTATTTACAGCAGTTAGCAGCCACAGTGGGAATACCCTATTTTCTTTGGGTTTTGGGTATTGAGTATTTACACACGTATCGTTCGACCCTTTATATCTGGCCTCCACTGTGGCACCTTGGAAACGTTGCATTATTGTTCGCTTTAAGCTGTTCTCCACTGAATTGCCAGGGGTTGCGGGGGCGTGGGAACAAACGGGGAAGGGGGCTTGCTCTACTGATCAGGGGCTGAGGTAGAGGGGATCGATATGTCGGCCAGCGCACAATGTTCCTTAAGGCACTTGCTCTGCTCTGCTCCTCCGGATCTTTGGTTGGCTTCGGACTCTGCAACCCCCTCTTACTCTCCATCCCTGGCCGCGTCAGCCCCCCTCCCATATCTATGTGTGTGTTTTAGTGCGCGCGTGTGTGTGTGTGTGTGTGTGTGCGTGGACGGTTTTCGAAGCTTTTTAAAATTTACACTTGAATGATCATCGATATCTTGTTGCCATTGCTATTAATCAATTTACATCGGCAAGAGCAACCCTTCGTATATACAGGTCTCCTCCTCTATATATATATATAATATATATTCATCTATGCAGTTTGGTATACACATACACACACATAAATATATATTTCCATATTACAATATATAATTGTGTAGTTTCTCTTTTATTATACATTTAATGCAAAAGTTGAATTCGCATAATTCAGTCAACGATTTCTTGGTTTTATTATTTATTTTTGCAACTACCTTTTTCTGTAAAATTCGAGGGGTGTGGGTATTTATTTCGGGGTGGTGATAGTGTAGTGACCAACCCCTGCAATTCAGTCGAAGAAATCATAGCTGGAGAGCCCCATTGTTTAGTTGAACTTTTACCATTTGTTAGCTTTGGTTTTTGGTTGTTTTTCTTTTCATTTTTTTGCGGTATATAGTTTGCTTTCATTACAAAAATCATAAGAGCGTTTTCTGTTTTGTTGTATATCTTGTCGCCATTTTTGGTTTGCTTGTGATTTTATTGTGATTGAGCGAATCTGTGACTGGGGAATACGAGCAATCCGTTGGATGTTTTGACTAATGTTCGGTCTTTGAGTTTAATTGCAGTCGTTTCGCCTTTACTTTTTAGCACTGGCTCTGCAGCATTCGTATTATTTACGTTAGTTGTTTCGCTTTTGCTTTTAGTTGAATATTTGTACTTTTTATTTCGTTTTTATTCGGGGGTGGGGGGATCGAAGCAGAAGATATAGCTGATATGGGTTCAGTTAGTCGGTAGAGAGGTGGATAGGTTAGTAGTTTGTGGGGTGGGTCATAGGTCATAGGCGGAGGGTATAGATTTCTCTTAAGCTTTAGTCAAAAAACAAAGGGTCTTCTTGAGAATGCCACGAACGATATTGTTTAGGTTATACACATAATACATCTATCACATATATGTGTGTATATGCTTAGTTGGTTAGTTCAGTTATTCAGTAGTTCAGTTAGATGGTTAGTTGTCTAAGTTTTTGTTACACGATAGTATTTCCTGTTACATTTATAAGCACATATTGCCTCGGGTTTCTCTTGATGACTATACAAGTTGGATTCGGTTTTTAGTTAAATATTACGGCAGTTTTACTATACTTTCTTGTAATGTGTGTTTCGGTGACTGAGTGTAAATCGTAAATCTGCTTTGATGTACATATACATATTTATTTTTCAGCTGGTTAAAGGGACATCCCTCGACATCATAGACTGCTTTCTCTGTGCTGGGTTCCATCACTCGGATCATACTCATGTCCTTTCAATCGGAGTTCTTAAAGCTTTTCTTCTCTGCATTCTTGCTAAAATAATGGCGTGTGTGCTTAATGATTTATTGCATTATTTACAGTTTCCGTTTGCAGCTGCAGTGTGATCGGGTTGTTATTCAGCTTTCGGTTGTTAAAAATTTGATTTAAATTCTGCCTTCACTTCTTCGATGTTTATGCTGTTGCTTTTGTATCTCTCCTCTGTTTATCATTGTTATTTGTCAATGCTTTTTAGTTTGGATTATGCCATGCTACTCGTATTTATTGGTACTCCCTTACTCATTCATTTTTTTGCTTTTTGTTTGTTTTGGTTTGGATTTGTTTTTCGGTTTTTGTGTTGTTTATCTTTAAATGTATAATTTAATTAAATTAATTTTAAATTAATTTAAGTTTAAATTTAGATTTAATTTAATTTAGCAATAGATTAAATTTGTTTTGTTATTTGTTCTACTTAAATTAAATATAAACAGCTTTTGTAGTCGTTTCTGGCATCCAACGTAACTCCTGTCAAGGCCAAATTTATACCACGCAACGTCTTTTGCACTGATTAATGCGTTATACATATATCATATATAGATCATACATACGGTAATACATACAGAGGGATCGAGACGTAGGCAAAGGTTTAGGTTTAGGATTAGGTTTATACGTAAACATAGGCAAACATATGTATCGCGTAGGTAGAAGAGCGCGCCACGTGGAGAGAAAAGAGAGAAAAAGTTATGTTCTAATCAAATCGTAATTCAATTCAGTTCAATTTAATTGATCGGACGTTCGCACTGCACAGAGAATAGCTGTGTTTGATTTAAAAAAAAAATATTTGATCGCGTATTGTCTGCAATATGATATTTGAGATATTTAAATACAAGTGACTGACCTTTTATAATTTGGTCGTTTTGCAACGAAATCTTTGAAATATTTCGAAAATTCGACAAGTGATTCAAATTAAAGTCTTTTCACTGATCGGCATCTATTACGGTCAGTGCGAACGATCCGTTTTAGAATTTTGCATTGTGCTTGTGGCATTTTGCAACACTTAATCCTAGTTACGCTCTACGGCTCAAGGTGCACGGGTTTCGGTGGAGGGTGTTGGGGTGGGGGGGTTAGAGAAATGAGTGTGCCAGAGCAAGATAGAGATAGAGAGTGTGATAAAAGTGGGAGTGGAGGGGTCTGTGCAGCAAGCGAGTGGCGTTATCCAACACTTACCCAGTAGTCAAACGTCGGTCTCGATACTAACGGCCAGGGCATTATTGTGCCTCATGGTGAGGCCGCTGCTGCCGCTGCCGCTCGTTGCCGCTGCTGCACTTGCGTTTATTGTGTGGGACTGTTGCTGCTGCAGCAGCTGCTGCTGCTGCTGTTGCTGCTGTTGCTGCTGCTTGAAGCCGTTCTGCTGTTGCTGCTGCTGCTGATGCTGGTACAAATGCGTCTGCGTCAGCTGCTGCAGTGGATGCTGCAACTGCTTGTCGATCGACATTGACATTGAGGATGCAACCTGTTGCTGCGGCTGTTGTTGCTGCTGCTGCTGCTGGGCTCCCAAAAATGGAGCAACCGCACTGCGTCCAGGATGTGTGTCTGTCAATCCCGGCGTGGACTCGACACCATCGTCCAAATCCATCATATCCGATGAGGACTCGGACAACGATGATTTCTTCATGTGTTGACCTACTTGGTGGTTTGTATGCATTTAGTGTGTTTTGTCGCAGTGTATATCACGCGTTGGCAGACAGAGCGTGTGTGTGTGTGTGTTTATATATGAGGTGTGTACGTGAGTTTGATTGGGGGATTCACACGATGTCAGGAATGCAGGAGCGGAGTTTTGGATGGATTGGTTCGAGTTTGATTTGAATTTGGTTTTTTTGGGTTTATTGTTGGGTTTTTGGGGAATTATTTGTGTGGAGGTCACGTTTCGATATTCGAATTGGCCATAAAATTGACGGAATAAAGAGAGAAACAAAAAGAAGAGAGAGAGAAGAGAGAAAGAGGAGATCACACATACAGTTGTAATGCATCGGTAACAGTAATGTTTTTTGCTGTAGTACTCGCTTACACACAAAACACACACGGTTCGTGCACGTTGGTTGTGGCACCGCTGTCAATACCGCTGCCCCACCGACAGGGTTGCCACCCACCGGCGCTGCAGCATGCCACCACCCACCAGCCCACCAGTTTTGGGGGATGGTGGGTGTACGGCAGTGCTCAGAGAAAAAACATAACATCTGTTTCATATTGTCATCTCGACTTTTTCAATTAATCCTTGAACAATGTCAATAATATCTGGCATAGTATGTTGTATCAATAATACTCGAGATGGTTACTGACTTAATAGAGGTTTTGAAAAATAAAATATCATTGTCGTCAAAATTATGTATGTTTGAAGATAAATTCATATCAAATTTGGTCATTAAAATTTTGATAAAAGTGTAAAAGGGTTGTTGAAAAAAAAATACTTTAATTTTATTATTGCTATGAAAACATTTAAAAGTATAGAGAAATGGTAACAACATTTAATGACATATAGAATGAGTATTAAATTGTTATGAACATAATGTTTAATCTTGTGATATCAAGACATTGAGATCACCGTATCTAGAGATTCAACTGGCACCTCCTCATTAAAGATATTATAGATACGACGTTGATATGCTTCAGATCAAAGGTAGCTCGAAATCGATGACCGGACTGTGGTGATATTTTTTCTCTGTGTGACAACGTGTCTGGTTCGAAAGCAGTGCCGGTACCCATCCGCTTGGGCGCCAGTTGGTGGTGCTGCCAAATGGGAGGATGGATGGTGGGGATTTTGTTTTCTTTTTTTTTTTTTTTGGGGTTTTTGTTCGGTTGGTGGTTTTTGGGGGCACACGGCACCGCCTTCGGCATCGGCATCCACAATTCGTTTCTTTCTTCGTAAATGTTTCTATTTTTATTCGACGGGTTCTACTTTTTGTTGCTCTACTTGAATTTGTGGTTTGGCTTGGTTTGGTTTTGGTGGTTCTGTCGGTAGTAGGTGGTTGGTATTCTGGGTTTTCGGGGTGGGGTAAATGCGAATCGAGTACGGAGGGGGGGTTGGGTTGGGTTTGAGCTCACTCAAGGCCACGGCAGATACACGGAGATCCGGGGGCACAGAGCGATAGCGAGACCGTGGTGGGGGAGGGGGGCCTTGTTCGGAGGGGGGAGTGCACACACAGTGTTGAACTTACCTAATGTACCTGGCAAATATGGACAACTAGTAACGTGATTAAAGTTCTGGCTCTGCATCTCCTCCTGATCCGTTTCGCGGTGATAGAAGTAGTTGAAATTGCTGACGATGACCGGCACCGGCAGTGCGATGGTCAGCACGCCAGCAATGGCACACAGTGATCCCACAATCTTGCCCCAAACGCCGACGGGTCTGTACCATCAATCAATCATCATTCAATCATTCAATCAATCAATCAATCAATCAGTTTCAGATAATCAATTTTTCAATTCAATTTCGAATTCGATTTCAATCGATAGTCGTGATCGTGTGTCAAACGATACAACGAATCAATGCAATTTTCGTTTGGCAATCATTTGCACATACAATTTTTTTTTCCGGGCGTTTTAGGGTTGCATTTTATTATTTTGATTATTATTATATTTTTTTTTATGATAATATATAGGTGCAATTTTTTTGTTGTTGTTTGTTGGGGATATTTGTTTTTGGTTTTGATTAACAATTGATATATATTTTATTTGAATTGAGAATTTTGGAGTTGGTTGGTTGTTTTTTTTTTAAATTGATTTTTGGTATTTGTTTGTTTGGATGGAAGCGAGCGATGTTAACGAACGAACGATATAAATAAAATGAAAATACAAATATATAAGAAATGTAAAGTAAAACTCTCGTTTTGTTCTTAGTATTTCTTTTGCGTAGGTTTTTTTTTTTATCATATATACTGTATGCATTGGCAAAATTATACGGCATTACTCATTATATAGATACAGATACAGATACAGGTATAGATATCGATAGGTGTACGCTTATATAAGTATATTTATAGAGAGGAGGGCTTGAGTAGGCATTAGTCTAGCAGAGAACGTTCAAATCAAATCAAAGTGGCGCAAAGAGTACGAAAGTCGAAAGAAGAAGAAGGCACAACACTTAGAACAACGGGTGGGTGGGTAAGCGTATATCTGGGTATTCTGTTCATTTTTTTGTCTTCTGTTTTTTTTTCTGTTGGCAGTTTTTGAGGCGGCTTGTTTGTGTGCAGATATATACAGACATAATTATTGCATAAGTGCGAGCGACTGGCTCAGGTGTTCGTGTGTGTGTGTGGGTGGCAGGTGGGAGGTTGGTGCATGTGTGTGAGTGTGGCGAAAACTTTTTCTTCCTCCAGTTAAAGTTGAAAAACGGGGGAAAATGAGTGGAAAGAGGTGTTTTTTTTGGTGGGGAGGGGAGGTTCTGGTATCATAGGCAATTGGATTTGGCAGGCGGCTGGGCTTTGTTGCTCATTAGGCGGCTGTAGCTAAACTTTTTTGTCTCAGTGTGCGTGTGTGTCCGTGTGTGAATGAGGGCGAATTGGTGTGTGTGTGTGTGAGTATGTCGTGTAAATGTGTTTATCGGGCACATGCAGCATGCTCCTCTTCGTCTTCGTCTCCTTCATCCTTTATTTTGTTTTTTTTTTTGTATTCTTCTCCTCCAGCTTTTTTGTGTTCGTTGTGGGGGTGTTTGGGGGGTTAAACTCGATAAGCTGTTTGGCCAGCAAATGAAGTTATCGTTATCGCTCGGTGGGCGTGGTTCCATCAACCAGTGTTTGTGTGTGTATAGTTTTTGTGTTTGATTATGGCGATTATGGGCGGCACTGTACTATGAATATACAGCGCCGGGTATGAGTATTAAATCGAGTTGAACTGATGACGACTTGTTTCGGTATTTTTGCGAAATTATTTCGGTATTTTTTCGGTATCTTTTGTGAACTAAACAACGACACAACGTTACATAGGTAATTTGCGATAAGAAAATAATAAGCATAATACATTAACTTGGCGCAAAGTATAAAACAGCTAAAACGCAATGAGATGGCAACGGAACACGCGAGAGAGCGAGATGGAGGATGAACGAGTGCGAGCGAGAAAGAAAAAGTGATGCCAACTGAAAACCGCTTAACGATACAAAACAAAACAGAATGGAACACAAAATTTAAGACAAAGATAAATATAATACGAAGACAAAGACAAAGACAAATACAAATAGAAGTCGTTATAGACGAATACGAATACAAACAAACAGCTCAGCGAGTCAAAGTAAGAGACAACAACGTTTAAGTTTGGTTTTGCATATTATTAATCGGGAGATACGAAACTCAAAGGGGTTAACAAGAAGTACTGTTAGGTTTGGATACATTTCGATAGATAGCTTTAGTTGGGTTAGCGTTTTTGGGGCGGGCTTTTAATAATCACACATAACGCAATTAACGAAATAGTTGGAAATGAAAATTAGAACAGAACACAGAGGTGGAACGGAGAAGGGATGGAGCGGCCAGAAAGGAGGCGCTCCCAAGAGGCGGGAACAAAACGAAAACGAAACGATAACGGAAACGGAAACGAAACTTTAAATCATAACTGGAGTTATCGTAAACGTAATCATAAAAGTTAGAATTGTATAGATTTGCATACGTCATGTCACCATATCCAACGGTGGTCATGGTGACGACCGCCCACCAAAATGCATCGGGTATGGACTTGAAGAAGGAATTTTCGCTTCCAGCTTCCGCAAAATAAACCGCCGATGAGAAGAGTACGACGCCTAAAAAAATTGATGGGAGAAACATTGCTTTGCATTGGTATTATATTCTTTTATGTTTTTTTGTTGTATTTTTTTAGTTTTATTTCTTTTTTTCAAAATTAACATTTAACCAAAGAGTGTTTTTTGAAAGTAAGTCATATATGTCTGGATACGTCGGAAGCTCGTCAAGGTGGTGTACGTATGTGATGGTGGGGTAATTCGTGTTCCAAAAATACTTTTGGAAACCCTGGAACGGCTTCTGTTTTTGTTTCAGTTTTAGTGTTATTGTTTTCGGTTCAACTTAAAAGAGTTCTGATATATTCACGTGTGTTTCGGATTGACTTCACCACAATCCGGCGGCATTCCCAAGCAGAAAATCAAGGCTTACCTAGGGGGTTTGTTTGTATTGTTTTCTAAATAATATAGGTCAGAGAAGCAATGATAGGAACTCGGTTTCTGGTGAGCCTCCCGCTGTTCGTACTGCTATGGGGCCCAGAAATATGGTGATATTTTTTGCGGATGGAACAAACGGCGATAGTGGACCATATAGCGAATGTCTTGAAAACGAAATCAGACTCCATTCCTTAATTAGGGGACTTGTGGGATGCGGAGTGGGAGATGTTGGTACATACTGGAGACGAACATAACATAAAACAGATGGAAAACGAAAAATGGGATGGACAGCGACGCAAAACGTAGAACTGATCATGCCACAAAAGAAACACGTAAGGAACAAGAATGAACGGAAATGAAAATGAGACATAAAACACAGGGGGAGGGGGAAAGGTCCATTAAAGCGAGCGAACCACAACATCAATTGTATATTCACATTGTTCAATTTACAGAGCCCTCATTTTGAACACAACTGTACAAAAGGCACAGCCTGGGATCGGAACGCATGAGAATGGAACACCCAATTCTTAAGATTTATTTACATTAGCATTAGGAGAGTGACGAAAGCAGAACATCAATGACACACATATAGCTTCAGAAAGACATTAAGTTGAGATATGGGAGAGACTGTACAACACTCAGTTACAAACACTCAGACAAAAAGAGACAGATAGAGAGAAAGATACAGATAAGTGTAGATATAGAAGGCGGGATCGAGAATAGATAGTGCCGGGACCACACCAGTGTGGAGCTGAAACGTGGGCTGTACCTCATATCACCATATCCCACCGTCGTCATGGTCACTACAGCCCACCAGAAGCCGTCCGGTATCGACTTGAAAAAGGAACTGTCGCTGCCAGCCTCCGCGAAATAAACCGCCGACGAGAACAGGACCACGCCTGAATCACGATCCAATCGGATCGTTTAAATAGAGATCAATCGTTATTAAATGTGCAATTAATTGTTATTTTCTGCTTGGGAATCGGTTGGGGGTTGGTCTGGGTTCTGGGTTCTTGGTTCTTGGTTTTTGGTACTTGGTTGTTTGGGTCGCAGGGGCTGTGAAATCTGAATCCCGTCAGATTTCAGGGTGGACTGCTACCCCTCTTATTAGTTCGTTAAAACAACTACAAGATATACATAAGACTATGATTATGAGTTAGTAAATGCTTTGGGTTTTTCTTTCTCTTGGGATTCGGTGCACGATAAAGAAAACTATATATATGTAATTAAAAATGTTTTAAGAATATTCTTCGTTGGACATGTATGTATTAGTAGTTGGTGTGTGGTTGTGGGTTTATCTGTGTGAGTGTCACACAAAAGGTTAGCAAAATATTACAAAGGCGATAACAAAAATTGTCATGTTCCTCGGCGGAAACCGAAGTAAAAAGAGCAGAGATCGAGGATCGTTGCCTACATCTCTGCGCTTTCACAAGTGTGGGTGTCTGAGAGAAAGAAACGGAGAGAGAGAGAGAGAGATAGATAGAGTGTGTGTGTGGGCGTGTGTGTGTGTGTGTTAGTAAGGTTAGTAAGGCTACTTGATCAGTGGAATCTAGCTATACAGAAGATTATTTATTTATAGAGAATATCATTATTATTTTTGTTTGTTTGATTAGAGTTAAACATGAAACTAGCTAGGTACTCTGTACAATACAATATACATACGTTATCGGTTCATAAGTAGTAGTAGGTAAGTAGTCATATCAGTAGATTCTATACATATATATCAATATATCGATGTATATGTTAAATATGATAGGGCTACACTACGGCAAGACAAATGATACGGTAACGAAATCGAAACAACCATCGAATGCCTATAGAAAATATCAATATACTATACATGTATATATCAGTTATATATCGCAGTGGCCAGTTCATTGATCATCATCTGGGAACTCTGCAATTTTGTAAGCTAAACAACATATATCTAACAATTTGTAACGAAACGGAATGGAATGGAATCAAAAACATAACAGACACAGAACTCAACGTAACTGATATATACAGAACATATATAGTTTTGGATATGCAGATAGTTCAGAGTATTTAAGTAACGATATATTGATATAGATGTGTTCATGTTTATGTCGGTTTAGATATGGTACACTATAGATTATACATATGATATACTTAGGTATGGTTAGTTTAATACGTTAATCGGTCAACGGATACAACAACAAACTATAAGCTAGAAATTACCAACTAGAAATTAGAAACTAGAAGCTAAAAACTATAGAACTAAAAGCAAAATTCAAACCACGGCACAATCTGTGGACATGGACATCGAAACGACAACGTTGATGATGAGTACGGTTTACGGATTATTGAATACGGATTACTGATTACGGTTTACGAACAACTTGAATGTGGTAGAACATGAACAACAATACAAAATATATATAATTTATTTGATACAGATGGTATAATTTATTTTCGCTTGATCTTTCTGTATGTATAAGGTTGGAACATATATCGATCACCATTTCTAGTTGCTATTCATATGTTTATTTGGTTGGACAATTTGAATGCCAAGAAGCTTGCCAATTTTAAGGCATTTTCAACGCAGTTTGGGCACATCAAAAAACAGTAATGGGTTTGTTTGGGATTGGAAAAGGAAGGGATGGGAAATATTCAGGCTACAAGACACATAGATAAAGATTATAGAGGTTTTGAATTAGGTTAGATCTGCGCACAAATTGCTTGAGGACCTTAAAATTGCCAACGACTTGATCGCGGCATTTTGGAGAATCCCGAAACGATTCGAACACTCTAAAGAACACTCGATCATTTTCGCTTTCCTGGTCTGCCGTTCGCACTTTGTCAGAGTATATCAGGAGTAATAGACTAAAATTCGAGTACATTGTGAGACTTTCCAGCTGGTTATTCAAAAAGCTAGCCAAAACCAAACTCAAATTCAAATTGATATTCGTAATACAAAACGCAAATGAAGAGAACTCAACGAACATATCCAAATTGAATGATACTTATAGAGCTTTGTTTGTTTTTTTTGTAGCGGATCTGACGGGGAAGTTCGGATCGGGAGATCAGGGGATCGCTAACGTACCGCTGCTCCATTGGGCGATAGTTCGTACCTACTTAGCGCTAGGATTAGACGACACTAAATAAGTTAGAGATACGTAATGGGTGAGTTTTACGAGTACACCTAGATAATACGGATACACGCTCTAAGGGCCTCCCTCTAGTTTATTTATTTAGCTTGTTTTGGGGGTGTTGGTGGTTGTGGAGTGTGTAGATGTGTATGGTTGTAACTATATAGTATGACTAGTTTACTTTACTTTAGTTAACTTTAGTTTAGCTTGATGTTTTAAGTATAATCTCTATTGGAGCGGTTTCTTTAAGGTGTTTCGTTGAGTTGTTGGGACCACGGGGCAAGGATGTCTGCAGATACACTATAGCTAAATGTTGTTGTATACTTGATCTGTGCAAGTACTGGGAGCTCTCGTAATCGGTATACCTTAGTCTTAAGTCTGGGCTTTTTGGCTTTCGCCGAGTTTCGTGAGGCAAATTAAATCGAAAATGATAAGTTCTTAAAAAGCATAACACTTTTCTGTATTTGTTGTTTTGTTTATTTGTGGCTTGGTTGGCTGTTGTTGTCTGTGGCGCAATGAAACATTTGGCAGGTTCGGTTTTTTTTTTTTTTTTTTTTTTTTTTAGAGGGTTTGGGGTTCGTGATGAGCGTTAACATAAATGTGCTGGCTTGAGGCAGACGTAAGCATAGATATATATATTTAATATGTATCTTTTGTGGTTGTTTTAATTCGCGGATCTTCGTATCGATATAGTTATAGTAAGTACGTGTGTATCAGGGCATTGAGACAGAGAGAAGTAGTTATAGAAATAGAGCTTTGGGGTGCGGAGTATCAGGGGTGAGAGTCTGTCTGGATGGTCGCAGTCGTTTTGCAGTATTTCTCTTTTGTTTTTGTTGTTTGAATAAAACTTGTATGTAAATCGATAAGTAAATGTGGTATGTTTTTGGTTTTTTTTTTTTTTTTGTTGACTGTATGGAACTTACCTATAAATAAGAAAAATATAAGTAAACCTAATTCCCGCATTGAGGCTTTCAGAGTTCGTCCTAATATTTGTAAACCCTTCGAATGCCTAGATAACTTAAATATTCGAAATACTCGAACTAATCGTATCACTCGTAATATTGCCAAGGACATAGCCTGATTCGATGACTTGTCCTAAAAATTTTATCGAAATATATATATATATATATATTATAGGTGGTATGCATATATATATATGTATGTTGGTATGTACTGGTGTGTATCGTTTATATATATATGATGGATGTTCATTTACATAGCTTGATTGCATGTATATAGAGGTGAGTAAGCAGATGTTGGCTTGTGTTAGTATCGGTAATATACAACAATGAACACAACCTGGTCATAAGTTATCGATAAACTGGGCTGTGGGATGGGGATAATGGTTGGGTTGATTGTGAATTGAAGTTGGAACAAATGAAAAGTTTTGATTGAAAGTTGGGTGTTTTTTTTTTTTTTTGGTTTGGTTTGGTTTGGGGCGGGCAGGCAACCCCTTTATCATGTCAGGCAACTTATAAATGATGATGGCAACACTTATTACTTTAATCGGTTCAACTGTATATGCATGTGAGTGTGTGTGGTCGTGTGTGAGTGGTTAATATCGATATATGTGTAGTTGGCATTGGGCAAACAGAAATCTCATACCTGTGGACTGACTGGCGCTTTTGGAAGATTTAACGTATCCTCCTCTTCGGCAACGACAGTCGCTAGTGTTATAAAGTACGGAATGATGGCGATTATGTCGATAACATTCATGACATCCCTGCAGAAATTTAATTTGTTCGGACATGCGAGGAACCTGAACACACACAAAATCGATACAACGACCAGCGATTGGTTTGGTTTAAAGATTCACACAGACAGCGCGATAGAGAAACCGAGAGCGAGAGAGAGAGAAATAGAGATGTAAGAGAGAGAAAGAAGATTTCAGATTGAAACAGTTGAATTAAACCATGAGTGTCAAACAAAAGCAAAGCAACAGACAGAGAAATATACACGAGTATATATAATATATTGAAATAAATCAAATCAAATCAAATCATATCGAAGACAAAACAGGAGAGAACGGAATATCAATCAATGTTTGTACTCAATTAGAGACAGAGTTATAGATGGATAGAGAGATATTGTATTCGAGTTCAAGTTCAAAATAATATTTCTCTTTCGTTCGCTTAGCTTATAACTAGGTGTACGCATAAATTGTTTGGAATGGAAGTGAGCGGCCTACCTGACAGTTAGTTCAAATGTAAACCAAATAATACATAACGTTTCTATAAGGAAGAAAGGATCTGTGATGTCAGGCACCTCGTCTTCCTCGATTTTTGTGCCATTTGTTGTTGTATTGAACACCTGCAAATTTAAGAATTGAGCAAACAAAAAGAGAAAGAGAAGGAGAAGGAGAAAGACAAAGATAGATGTATCCCTTGGTGGTCCTTCGGCTTGATTCGTACGCACCTTGTAATGCTTAAATTCGGGTAATGTTTCTAGACAAAATATAACAATTGATAGCAATATAACAAAAACACTAATTATGGCTACAACTCTGGCGGCTTGCGAACTTTCTGGATACTCGAAGAGCAGCCAGACTTTTCTCTGTTTCTCATTATCCGGTAATGGTCTTTCTTCCTCTTTAATAAAGCCTTCATCCTCTCTGCAAATAGAGCAATGATTGATGGTCTCTTGTTAGTATCAAATATTCATTACGATTTCTCATTCCAGTTATAATGTGTGAGTGTTGGTGTTGGTGTGGGTGTGTTTGTGGGTCTGTGAGTGTGGCATTCTTTAAGTATTTTCGGTATTTTTTAGGCTCAGATTTTATTTATTGGTTCGCAACTATAATCGGAAGCAGGCATAAGGCTTTAATCGTAAGCTAAGCTAAACTAAAAATTGATATAGATTTAAAGCCGTACAAGAAGCTAAGGTGTGTCTAGTTTTTGGCATTGGCAATCAGCAAAGAGTTTAAAAAATATTAAGTAGGCTGCATTCCGCTGGATCCTTGGTCCTCCTTGCTTCGGTTGAACTTCCGTTTCGTTCTCCATTTCCGTTCCACGGGTCCGGCCACACTGCCCCCCGTGCCGTATCAACAAAATTTTAAGCTGGTGGTCAAGTGATTAACATTCACTTTCGGATTTGACTTCGGTCCAGGTTCCAGTCCATCTATATCTGTAGTTTGTTTTATATAATTTGCTTCTACCTAGCCATAGCTGGAGATGCTTAAGTTTTAAGGGGAAGTTGCCAACAAGCTACATATTAAATTAATCTTATAGTTATAATTTTATGTGTACAAATATCCTATTGAATGATACCAATGACAACTGCAGTTTTAATGATTAACTAATACAAACTACAAGTTTATTTCATTTACGTTTAAGCTAATATAATCAAAAATACATTTATTTTTGAACAAAACTTTCCCTTTAAACCGCACCTTCAGCCAACGCAATGTGTAGGTATGTATGTTTGTATTTAAGCCAAGTCTAGATCTAACTCTATGTCTATGTGCGTGTGTCGGTCTGTTTGCCGTGTTGCATGCCTCATTACACTGATTCGATAGAAAATTTGCCGTGCTACCAATATAGAACAAACCGAACCAATTTGTTGTCCTGCATTTTTTATTTGATTTGTTTTAGTTTTCTGTTTATTTTTTGGTTGGGTTTTGTTTTGGGCTTTGTTTATTACTTTTTGTTTTTGGTAAGGGAGTGGTGGAATTTCTAGTGGGCAACACGTGGGCTTACCTGAATTTATTAATTGCTTGATCACCTAATTCATAAAATTTTATTTCTTCACTAAATACGTCTAAAGGGACATTGACCGGTCTCCGTAGTCGGCCACCTGTGGATGAACGTGATGAGTGTGTTTTTTTTTTGGGGTAGTGAGTTGGTTTGAGTTGGTGGGTGGTTGGGTGGCGGGTGTGAATAAAGTCAAGTATTCATTGTTTGTTGTTTCGGCGACGACGAGGGTAAAGAGAAATAGAGAAACATTAGCCGGGGGTTACACAAAAACAGTGTTTTTTTTTTTTTTTTTTTTAAGTTAGGGATATTGAATGATTGCTTACCACTCTGATAATAGTATAAAATCGCATCGAAGCTCGGTCGACTACGGTCAAAAAAATATTCATTTCTAAGCGGGTCAAAGTACCGTAATCTCCGAGCGGGATCCCCAAGCAGCGTGTCCGGGAATTGATTTAGCGTACGCAGTTGTGTCTCAAACCTTAATCCGCTTACCTGGAAAGCAGCGTCGGAATAGTGGATAAATTGGCATTAACCTTAAGTACGATATAGTGTGGCGACTCACATTTATAACGACTCTTTCGCAGAAATCATGATCGTGAGGAATGGGTTCAAAGTGTTGCGGTCCGCCACCAAAGCCATGACCAGCCCCCCCTTCTTCGTCTTGACTGCTCAATTTGGGCAAAGACCTGTGGATAAAAGGAAGTACAGTAAGTACACATGATTAACCGATATTTATATTTTATAAAAATGTATGTACTCTTATTAATTCTCTCTCTTATTTTAAGCATAAGAAAAATATAAGTTGATTCCTTAAGAATTAACCAGAATTACGTGACTATTCTATACTAAAATTTAATACAAATATTCAATAGTGATGTGTATAGATATATCCCGTCTTAGTTTAGATTAAAACTTCATTAATTCAATCCAAGCAGATGAAAGGCTTTGAGCTGAATATTTAAACTAAACCAGACAGCAATTACTTTACCATTACTTATCCCACAGACATTCGATTTATACTTTCAAGTTTCGGTGTTCGACTTTCTTTCGGTTTTAAGTGAAAGTCACATCTCCATTATTCAACGCCTTCGATCTTTAAGCTCTCCAGTGGCCTGGTCTTTAATTACTTTTCGACTCGAATCAATTTCCAGATGCTCTGCCATTGAATATTCAATGGCCATGCATATTGCATGACCGGCGGCAGTCGGGGATTTTCAGCCTCACTTTCTCGATTTCAAATTGCAATTCGCAATTGCGATGCCAACTTTTTGGGGCTACAAAAAGGAGACGGGGAGCAGGTATACTCTTTCCTTTGGCTAAGGCCTCGTTCAAATTAAATTCATTGCACTCCACAGGCATACATATATGTATACAGAAATATATATGGACACCACGCCCACGCCGGCAATATACTTATGTTTACACTTGTAATTGAAATTGTATTACAATCGCATATAAAAGCGACCCAACGAGTCGGGCTCAACCACAGCAACACCATCATCATCGAACCACCCACCGAAACACCCATTTGCTGGCAGTGTGCCCAACATTTTCCGCCCTTATCGCTGATGTTGCTGACAATGTGCAATTGTTGCTGCTGTTGCAGCTGCAATTGTTGCTGCTGCTGCTGCTGCCGTTGCCGCTGCTGGCAACTTTTTGGCGTTGCATGGCAGGTTGCCTGCTTTCTGGCGCTGTGCCGCGCCGTAGCATTTAATTAAGCGTGTAAGTGCACTATCCCACCCTCGAAAACCTGATAGCCTCGTCCTCGTCTTCGTCCTCCTTTTCATCCTCATCCACTGCCCACATCAGTTATCCCCTCTACTCGACTGCAATAATGGCGATTGCCTGCTCGGACAAATTGTTTGTCGGCATAAATCTTTGCCGGCTGCAACTCTATCTTTTCGCGGCGGGCACTTCTTCATATTTATGGTCGGATATGTGGCAAACATAATAATGGTATTGAAAATCAACGTTCACAGCATTGTTATCTAAGGTAAAATACAACAATTTATGGATGGCCCAGGCCGTGACAGGTCCATAAGTAACAATATATTAAGAAAAAATATTTTCTCTGTCAAAGAAAGCATTCATAAACTTTGTCAGTTAAATGAAGTCTAAGTATTGCCAAAGGCGCAGAAAGAGTCATGATTTATTTTATTTTTATGGAGAAGAGAAACCGCAGGAAAATAATACAAGAACTTCAGCGACATAATTTTAAACTAACTGAAAATGTCCCATTAGCTATTACTTGAAACAAGATCCACCTGTTAATTGGCATATAAATATTTAATACTTTGGTTATTGGCACTAGATTAAGGTGGTATTTTATTTCGTAATTCCTGTAACTTTAATCAGAAATTGGCATATTGTTCGGTGTGACGTCAGCAGCTGTTGCAGCCGCAAAAAGGAGAGTGCAAGGTGGAAGTGGAAAAGACCGGTTCAGGACGAATCGTGCCGAGCTGCAAGCTAAATGTCAACAAACAGTTTGGGCCCAGGTGCAGTAGGCTCCTCTTCGCCGACATTTTACCTTTTATTTATCTCCATCCATGTATAGTACATGGAAACAATTTCGTTGTTTATCTACTATATGTAAATGTCAGTCAGCAATTTATGCATACGCTTACGCTCGTCTCTCTCTCTCTATCTCTCTCTCTCTCTTTCTGTTTGTCTCTGTTGCACTTGCGAACATGTATATAGGTCAGCGGCACGGCCTGATGCGGCTGTGACGTCATTGTCCCCTCCTTTCTAGATGCCGCCGATGTCGATGAGTCGGTGCTCTGCAGCAGCGACCTATTTACAAGATACATATGTATCCACAAGTCTCAACGTGAGTCGATTCGATTCAAGTCGACTCTACTCGACTTGAGTCTCACCCACTTCCGCATCGTATTGCAGGTGGATTGCATAAGTCGGAAGGCTGCAACGGCAACTGCAACTGCAACAGAAACTAAGACGGAAACGGAAACAGCAATGGCGATGACTGAAGTTCAATGTAAAGTCAAAAATCGAAGTGGAATTTCGTCCTGGGGATCGTGATCCCTCCCCCCCCCACAAACCTATGTGTGAGTGCCTTGGTATGTGACATGTGCAAAGTGAGTCAGTCTGTGTGTGTGTTAGTTTCTGTTTCTCTTTGTCCGGTCAAGGCAAAGTCAGCCTCAGTCCTTAGACCTCCCAAGACCTCCCCACACCCAAGACTGAACCTCCCCCCCCTCCCCCTGTTTTTGGACTATTTTTAGCAGCGTCAACAACGGCATGCTGAAATTTATGAATTAATGTGATGGCGAAAAGGAAATTTAAGGCATGCACACGCACACCCGCCGAAGGAGCCTTGAACTGGGGGAGTGCACTTGCACTCGCCACCCAGTCAGTCCTCATTGAGGACCCGCCTATATGCATGCCGCACATCTGCGAGTTACCCAACCATCGGTGCCGCATTTTGTGCCAGTTAAGTAAACCCATTGAGAATCGCTGAGGAGAGCACTGGCTATGGTAAGGAAAATAAATAAAATTTATATATCACGTTTAGATATCATTTTTACAAAATAAAAACGGAAATATTTTTCGCAACTTTTGTGAATTGATCAAAAGATAATACGATGAATAAAAAATGTATTTACTTAATTTATAACGTTATTAAGAGTTAATAAAATAATAAATTTATGTGCAAATGGTTCTTGCAGCTGAAGTAAATTTATTAAAAAGAGCGAAGAGTCTATCTTCGAAACTTTTTGCGAATGTGTATATAATGAATTTATGAATATTTTTAAATTTCATGCCACTTCACAAAGTTAGCATCCTAATTTAGAAGAGTATGGTTTTGTTTTGGAAAGCAAAAAACTTGGTAATTTTTTTTTCTATGTGACCGTGTTAAAAATGTAAAAGTATATAATTTCGAGGATTTCAAATAAGCTTCTGCTCTTTAATGGCACATTCAAAGTCAAAGTTTCAATAGAATCAATAGAATCAATAGGCTTTGCCTTAACTGTCAGCGTTTGTGCTTCGTGTTCCGAGAGCAAGCAGAAAATTGATAAACTGGTAAGTATTAACTAACTTACTGGATTTTAGTTTGAAATAGGTGAACAATATTATTAACTGCAGATGGCCGAGGAACAGCCGCCTGTGGAACGGCGATGGTGCGGACTGGGGAACCACAAGCTGAGGACCCCGTTTCGCATTCTGAGAAATCCCGATTTGATTAAGTTCGGCCAGCGGATCAACCCTGAGCTGATATCGCAACCGCTGTGTCTGTCATGTTACCAAAATCTGGTCAAGCTCTACAACTTCAAGAACAACAATGCGAAGAGGCATCTGGAGCGAAAAAGGCTGGCTGCGCTGATCGCGTCAGAGAGCAGCAGCCTTACGTCTAGTCAGTCCGACGGTTCCACTGCCGGAGGGTCCACTGTAGCGCCCCGAGTTCCGTTGAGCTCCTCCGAGGACGATGGACCCACCACCAGCGCCGCGGCGGCGGCCAAGAGAGCAAGAAGGGAACAACAAGGAGCAGAATCGGAGCCCTCGGAAAACACATCATACTTCTCCGACGCCGACGATCCCAATTCCAATCTGAGTCTCAATGCCGTGAACGGTACGCGATTACCCCATATTCAACCCATTCCACGAAGGCGCCAGTTCGTACACCTGAACAAGGAAGCTATGGACATATATCTCGCAGGAACCACTGGGGGTTAATAATGATACTGAATACTCAAGTGTATTAACCATTTTTGCATTTTTCGTTGACGGGTTTTAACATCTTGAGAAATTTTCGAGTAGTTATTTTGGTGCAGAAGCCATGTGTTTTTATTTTTTTAAATTTTAATGTAAACCTTCGGTTAGTTCACATCTACATACTTGCTTAACCACTTACTATGCGTTGAGTTATAACAAAGTAATCCAAAATATATAAAGTTCCTCAACATACCTTGTATGTTCGGCTTGAAAACTAAGCCAAAACTCCCTGCATTGGGCACTAAGGCCACGACTTTGTATTTTATCCTATCCCATCCTCACCATACCTTGTAAATTCAGCTTTACAGCCTGAAATCCCTTTGGCTCAGTCGCAACTTTGTGCGCTGCCCACGGCAAATCGATGCCCCTGTGGGAAATGGCACTGTTAAAGCTGATTTGCAACCGCCTCCCACTGGAACCCACATGGGCGTACGTCGAGGGGGATCGAGCTTCGTGTCAACATGATTCAATCAACGCCGTCAAACGAGAGGCGCCACAGGCTGTGCAAGGTGAATGCGAAACTGGATTCAACGCTGACGTCACAAACGACATTCGACTCACAAAGTTTTTAAAGTGAATTCGAATGAGGGAATATGCACTTGAAGAAAAGGTCGTAATGCGGAATTTTGTACATACCTAGTAAATAACAGTTAACACTCATTAAGCAATATGTCGTTTACTAGGCATGCAACTCCTTTGGAAAATATTTTCTAAATTTAGGATACATTTACTGGGAGAAATAATAAATGCTACCTCGGTATTTTATATCTTGCGGCAACTTTAAAATCTCTAGTGAACACATTCAGGTACATTTATTATGTTAGGCAACTTAAAAACTCTAGAATTTTTTCTGTGCAAACAGCCGAATTTCCTACAACCTTATTGCATTTACCAATTTGCCTTGGAAATGCACCTGGCACACGGATTTTGCACCCGGACTTGTATTTGCAGCCGGATTCAGATCCATCAATCGCCAGACGGGAGATCGGGAATCGCGGCCGCCGCTGCGTGGAATTATGCAAATCCCTGGGCAGAAGATTCACGGACGGATAGTTATAGTTGGACTTACCAATTGGCATGCCTTACTCGACCTTGGCCATTTGCGAACACAATTTGTGTTAGTTGCTGGTATGTTTCCGTGTTTCGATTTTTGGTAGGCCTCGACTGTCAGCTTTTGTGCTTCGTTTTTAAGAGTAAGGCAAACGCAGGAACTTGGTTACTGGTAAATATTAATTTCTGGATTTTGTATAGAAACAGTTGAATAATGTATTAACTGCAGATGGCAGAGGAACAGCGCGTGTGTGGTCTGGGAATTCACAAGTTGAAGACCCCGTACCGCTTTCTCGAAAATTCTCAATGGATAAAGTTCGGTCAACGAATAAACCCCCAGCTCCGGTCGCAACCACTATGCTTGTCGTGCTACAAGAGTCTGATAAGGCTGTTCAACATCCACAAAGACCATGCTAAGAGCCATGCGGAGCGAATTAGGACGGTATCAGTGATTCCCATAAGTGATACGTCCGAGGGTACCAGGATCCTGGAGCCTGGATCCCCGAGCTCCTTCGAGGACGAAGGACCCACCACTAGCGACGACCCGGCGGCCAAGAGAGCAAGGAAACAAGAGGCAGATAAAACTTCGTACGTGGATAGGAATAAAGAAGAATAAAGAATAAAGAAGTGCCAAAATATTTTTCCTCATGATTTTTTGAGAGATATATATTTTTTCTTTGAATACAACTTGATTGGAAATCTTATAACATTTGAAGTTAAGAAATGATTTTGTTCGGATTGTGGCGAAAATAGTTTTTTAAGAGGTCCACCACCCGGGGCTATCAATCGCTACACGGGGGATCGGGGATCGGGAATCACGACCGCGGCAGCGTCGAATTATGCAAATCCCTGGCCGGAAGATTCACGGGCGGATAGTTATAGTTGGACTAACCAACTGGCCTGCCCTACGCGACCTTGGCCATTTGCGTGCACAATTTGTGTGAGTTGCTGGTGTGTTTCCGTGATTCGCTTTTTTTAATACCCCTTGCCATGGAAAATGGGAGTTTTATGAACAATTTGGAACAATTGGCATACGGTATTCCTAGGCCTAATTTTATTTTTGATTTAATATCATATATTATCGATATTATGTATTATACTCATATTAATACAACTTTTGACGAATCAGCACAGAAACTGAAAGATTACAATTTAAAAGTTTAAAAGTGAACAATGTATAGTCAGACATTCAAAATATATTTTAATGAACCAAGGATCATAAGTTGGTCAGTTATCAAGACTAGTGAGCTTTTTATTTTCTAAAAATTTAAGATCCCAAGATCCAGGGCATTTGAAAGTTTCGAATGTGTCGTTTGGAGGCCTTACTTTCTGGTTTTTAATTTCCATTCTCAGTTCTTGTTTTTCGTTTGGCTTTTTTATTTTTGGCAACCATTCTCAGGTTCTACCCGTGTGCACCGACATGCAAGCTGTTCGCCAAAAGCCAACAACAACAGTAGTGGTGAGAAGTGGGAGAAAGTGGGGTGAAAGTGGGGTGAAAGAGGGCGTAGGAGTAGTGGCAGTGGGTGAAAGCTTGTTGCCTGTCGCTTTCTGTTTTCGGTGCTGTTTGCATTTGCCGATGCAAACGTGCCAGAAGAATGTATGAAAGGGGCTGTGGAGAATGGAGAAGGTGTTGTGGAAAATGGAAAATGGGGGAAGGGGTCACCTGGTGAGGTGCAAAAATGTGCTGGAAAAGTGTGCACGTCAGGCATTTTAAACATGTTCCGCTATTTGAAACTTTTCGTCGTTTATTATTCGAAAAAGAAGGCTTCGCTTAAAGAAAAGCAACAACAGAATGGCGGAATGGAGTTCGAGGTAGAAAAAAGGACAGGAAACGAACTTGTTAAGCGCGCAATTTAAAAGCGAAGCGAACTTCTCCAAAGGTGAAACTTTTCAAATGTCTCAAGTGCGTCAAAGGCATAAGAGTTAGTAGAGTGGGCAGAAAGGGGTTAAGAGTGGGTCAAAGGGGTGGAAAAGGGTGAAAAAGGTACTGGAGAATGGACTCTTGACTATAGAAGATAGAGGGCGATTGAGGGTCCTTAGCGATGGTTCGCAGAAGTGCAATCAGTTCATAGCTCTTCGGCAGAGATAAGACAATCAGAAAGCTATGGCATATTCATTAATCGATATTGCCTAGTTGAATAATGGTTAAGTAATAGCGTTTTTAAATTTAATTTCAACAAAGTTAAGGGACCAACCGTTTATATCTGAGTATAAATAAGCTTAGTCTTAGAAAATATTTCAAAATGCTGTCATATCCATTTAAGAATAATTTTTCTATAATTTAATGATGTAAATAAAGAGGAATATTTATTATTTATAAAATTAGAGAAATTTTCTAATTATTATAAAAAAATTCTTAAATATCAATATGTATATTTCATTTTACAAAATTATAGTGAGAGCCTTAAAAATAGAATCCCTTTGTGTTAAAAAGCAAATAGATATTTCCCTTTCAGTCACAATAACTGGGTAGTAGTAGTGGATACCAGTTTACCCAATGGGGTTGCTTCCGCAATGGTCGAAAATGACCCAGCAACTTGTCCTCCCAGCCACAACTCAATATAAATTCCAATCGTCTTGGCCACAATCAAAGTAATCTCCATTCAATTTGTTAAGTCCCCGAAACCGTTTAATGCTCCCCCTACCCATTGTGTGGTTTTAATTTTAATGCACTGCACAAGGAAACTGTGGAGGGGTTTTTGCTTTTTCGTGGTCGAGATAAGGGTAAAAGTACGGGGAAAGTCAAGCGAGTGAAAGCGACACAAAGCTCATGGTGCGAGCACACACACACACACACACACACACACACACACACTGCGCTCATTGTTGGCTGTTCGGTGTCCATTGTTCATGGCTTTGTTGCCTTGTTGCCTTGCCGCTGACGTTGACGTCGCTTGTCGCCTTGTCGCTGCCAGCAACAACTACTGCCACTAGTGCTAGTATCAACCAACAACAACCAGCAAAGACCAGGATCAAAAGTCAAGAACAATGACAGCAAATAGCAAGTAGCAGGCGGCGAGCAGCGGGCAAAAGTCAAGTTGCAAGTTGAAATGTGCGGCAATTGTTTGCTCGGGCAAAAGGCAAGTGAAAGTGTAAGCCTCGTCAATCAGCAACAACAAGAACAGTTAGACACTGAGGGAAAAATTTGCCAATATATAATAATGCTATGGAAAGTCATTTAAGATTCATAATACATGCTTAAATTGGTAATAGACAGTTCTCAAATCCTAAAATGCTTCTTGTTTATTATTTTTAAAAAGCTTTTAAAATGACTTTCTTATTTTTAGTATAAGACTTTGTCCACAAAATCATTATCAGTTTGGTTCTTAAGATTTGATTTGAGATATATAACCCCTATTAAGTTTTAATAGTGCTTCTTTGTGTCAAAGTTTCTGCTAGGAAAATCAAACTTAAATAACCATTTTTAAAGAGATCTTTAAGTAGTTTAATAAAAAAAACGTTGAAAAATTTGTAACCACAGCTGTTAAAAATGAGTGTTTGCCTTTTTTATGGCTTTGTTCTAGGGTAATATAACCATAAAGAAAGTGCAAAATGCTCTAACTAACTAAAATAATAAAAAATTTTACTATGCACTTATTTGTTATTGGTTTTTCTCTCTGCAGGATCGACAGGACTCGGTGTCAGCGATTTTAGTGTCAGGAATTGCTTTCGCTGGCGTCGGGCATCAATTTACCAATTTACCCAGATGCATTAGATTCGCTCTTCATTTGTTCTTGAACTTCTGCTGGGAAAAGTCTTTGTGTGAGGAGGGAAAAGCAAAGGAGCACCAGCCACAGGCACACAGATACAGATACAGCTACCCATCCAGCATCGTTATCGATGTCAAACTCATGTCAATTCACTGAGACGATTACAGGATATCATCAAAGGATATTGTTATGTCTCAATCGGCTGAAAAGGCAGGGTGGAATGATGGTGTGGTCTGGGGCCATTGGAATGTTAATGATATTGATGCTGTGCCACTTTTGTGTTTGCTGTTTGGGCAACTGTCAATGTCACATTGCGCATACGCCGCATTGACCCACCCACCATTCGTAGGTGAGTGTGAGTGTTTGGATGGCTGCGAGTGAGTGTGTGTGTGTGCCTGTCGTCTGTCTGTCTCTCTGTCTGTCTGTTTGTCC